GCTTTGGTTTTGATTGCCTTGCCACCAGGCTGCAGCCTTGGCTCTGCTGCATTTTGCAGGTGGCTCTGCCCTGTACCCCATTTCCTGAATCTTCCAGCCAAGGGATGCCTCATTTGAGGCTCATGAGCATTAAGGCTTGGATTTGGGGGTGCAGCCATGGTTTTCTGGGTCCTGTCCTGCTCGGTAAGCTTGCATATTTGCAGAGAACATTCCGGGGTCCATTCTGCTGACAGGGCACAGCCCTTGCCAGGGGTACTGGCATCAAAGTCTTTTCAACTTTAATGATGTATGACATTCTGGAGACAAAATACAGTTGGGCTAATCATATTTTAATAGCTCTACCTTTCCGAGCAGCCTGTTCTAGCCCTTCGAACAGTGATGTTTTAATTTCCCAGCTCTGATGAGCCTCGTTCCAACTAGGCATTCAGTTTCCCCACTTAGAAATTTCCCTCCCAGATGTCGGATGCCAGGGAACTCTCCAGAACAAGTCCACAAATATAATATTTAATATTGGATGTCAGTTTGGGTGTTCCACTCAATTTCCTGGAAAGAGTTTGAACCGCCTATCCTTTGGGTGGGACATCCAATCAGCTCCACACTCCCAGGCCAGTGGAGTGCCTCGGAATACCATGGAACCAAGCGCTCTAATTTCTGAAACGCAAATTTGGAGCAGATGTAAGGAAAGTGTGTCATTTCTTTCCAAACGCAGCCGTTATCAGGCCAGGCAGGCAGGAGGAGCTGTTAGTGGGGGCCGCTGAGCTTGTGAGCACCTTCCTCCACAGTGCAGCAGGCTTTCTGGGTAGCACACTCACCCCCAAAGGAAAGGCAGGCAAAAGTGGCTGGCAGAGCACCCCACTCCCTGCTCTTGAGGAGGAATGAGGGTGAAAGAAGAGGCTAAGGACAGGTTTAGGTCTGGCATAGTTCAGGCTAGCCCCAAGGTCACTGTGCAGCTCAGGATATTCTTAAATGATGCTCCTCCTGCCTCTACCTCCCCAGCGCTGGGATTCCTGGCATGCACCATCACACTCAGTTTATGCCATCCTAGGGATGGAACCCAGGGCTTCTTGCTTGCTAGGTAGGCACTCTACCAATTGAGCTCCATCCCAGCCTCTGACTTGGAGTTTCGGAGCTCGGAGCTACATTCTTGGGATGCAGCCACAGCAAAGCAGTCCATTTTCAGACATACACCCCAGCTGGAACCCAGGCTTACGACTGTCCTCTGTCCAGCTGTCTCTTAATTTCTTGAGGTCACCCAGTTCTTTGAGCCTCGAAGTTTCTGTTCCTGGCAGAGGTTCCTTGGTAACTTTATGCTGAAGTAAGCGGGAGAGAGAGCCCCAGGGCACTGACGGGTGGAAACAGAACCTCAGACATCCAGGGGTGGAGAAGCCCGGGACCAGAGTGGACAGTGTGCCAAGGGCAGGAGTCCGGGATCAGGAGGCATCTTTCCCAGGATGCCTCAGGCAGCTCAGCTGCCCCATCCCCTTGAGGAAATGATGGGTCCCTGAATGGGGTCCCCCTCTGCCTCAGATAGTGGCAGAATTAACAGTGCTGGGGGCCAGAGCCTTGCAACAGGACAGTGAATTCCTGAGGCCTGCATGCATGTTCTACGCCCATCCAAATCTGAGGCAAGGTAACAGAACCTTCCCAGGAACCTGATGTGAAGTCAGAAGGTTGGTGTCTGGTCTCAGCTCTGCTGGGCCTCCGAGGAACTCCCTTCACCATCTGGGCCTCAGTTTCCCAATGTCAAAGCTAGAAGTGGGACAGAGGAGCTTCAAAGTCCTTCCTAAAGTTCAGATTTCTCCCCTCTACCCCCGCTAAGGACAGAGGGTGAAGACGGGGCCCTTTGTCACAGTCTTGCCAGGATAGAAGGCCACGTGAGTCCTTCGAGTGTGGAGGTCCCAAGTGGGGCTTAAGGAGCTGCAGCTGCAATGCCATCTGGGGGAGTGTGGGGTGATTCCTGACCACCTCCTTGGTCCTTGGTCTGGGGAGTATGTCTGTCTCCCACAAGGCTATGGAGCACTCCCTCTTCTCCCCACCACAATAGCAAGTGGCTGGCTGGGCCTCTCATCTACTGGTGTTTAGGGGGTCTATCGATAATTGAATCGACCCCTCCTCCCAGCTGTCTGCAAAGCCGGTGGGCCCCCAGTGACTGGAGTCAAGGAACAGCAGGCTGTGGGGTGGGGTTACCTGGGACATTCTCTGCAAGCCTGGTGTTGGGGGGGGGGGGCAGCGGGGATCCTGAAATGAGCCAAGCAAAGCTGGGGCAGAGGCAGCAGAGAACCCTCAGCTTCCGGGGAGGGCAAGCCTTCTCTGTAGACCACATCCCCTCACCCTTGCCACGGTAACGGATGTTCTCCTGGGCCTCCTCACTACACCCTGAACCATCACACCCTGTGGGACTGAGCACTGAGTCCCAGCTAATCCTACGTCAGTCCGTGTGCTACATCATACACACATTTGTCTGCTCGCAGGAACCCTCTCATAGTCCTGGCTCTGACATGAACACCAGGGACACACAGGCACACAGAAACAGCCCCCGTAGCCAGGTATATGGACACCCAGAAGTAAAGGCACTCTTCCCAGCATCCCTTGCTGGTAGCTTCAGTTATCTGACTGCCTTGTGGCTGGTGAGATTAAGGTAAGAATGTGGTCATTTTATCCCCTACAAACAACAAACAAACCCACCCGCCCTGCCCTTCCTTCTAGGCAGTCCTCTTCCTTGCTGGCTGGAATGCAGAAGTGATGCATGGAGCTGAAGCAGCCATCTTGAACAAAGAGGGTGTTGGAGAAGAGGGTCCACACTGCAGAGCAGTGAGAAGTGTTTCTAGAGGTGTCACGAAGGAGACATGCCACAGCCCTGGGGCCTTGGTGTGAGAGGGGACTCTCCGTCCTCCAAGCTCCTGTTTGCCTTTTTTTTTTTTCACCTAGAGGCCACCATGGGTGCAAAAGGCTCTGGCTTCATGGAGAGGGTGCTGCTGGACTGCCCTTTGGGAAGCCCTGGACTACCAGGGGCCTTGGGGGTTCCTGCTCTGCCCTAAGACCAGAGCAGTGTCAAAGGGAGCGGCTGTGAGCCTCTGAGAGAACGCATGTCACCCTGCACAGGCTAGAGGAACCACCTTCTGAACATGGAGGCTGGCGGAAGTGCCGACCACAGCTCCAAACCAGGGGGTACAGCGTCTGCGCTGTACTCACGGCGCAGTGCTCATTGCACAGTGATCCTAGTGTGGTGCTCACTGCATAGTGCCCATCACACAGTACTCAGTACACAGTGGTCACCACTGGTTCTCTGGATGACCTAGAGAAACGACTGAAACTGTCAAAAATCAACAAGAACAGGGCTGAAACCAATTCCTGCAAGGTGCCCTCTGCCCTTGACACGCATACACACACAGTAATAAAATTTAGGCTGCTCAGGTTTTACCTGTCTGTTTCGTGTTCGTGGGTACTGTGCCTGCTTGCTTGCATGTGCACCACATGCCCGCCTGGTGCCTACGGAGGCCAGAAGAGGGCATCATACGCCCCTTGAGCGGGAGTTACAGACGGTGGTGAGCTGCTCTCTGCGGGTGTTGGGAATCCAACCAGGTCCTCTAAAAGAGCAGCCAGTGCTCTGAACCTCTGAGCCATCTCCGCCCCCAACCCCCCATTTTAAAATGTTTAAAATAAACCAGGAACGTACATCCTGTCACGTCACAGACAGCCTGGGAGCTTCCTGGTGGTCCTGGGTGAGGTGAAGAGGTTTTCGCTCGGGACTGCGTGTCTGATCTATGAGCGGGTGATCCCAGCAGGCACTGGGGTAATCCAACGCTGCAGTTACTCCAGCATCCGAAAAGGCTGCTGTGGGAGCCCCCTCCACTGTAGACTTTGCAACCAAAGACAGCTTCTCCCAGCATTCCCCAACTGCGAAGAACAAACTATTTTCTCATTTGGGGGGAAAAAAGCATCCTTTTATGGGAAACAGGCTCAGCCCTGTGTATGTCCCTCCCACGAAAGCTGCTCTGCCCTCATTTGTGGCTGCGTGACCACAAGACAAGATCTTTAATTAAAATCGGTCCGGTGTGTGTGTGTGTGTGTGTGTGTGTGTGTGTGTGTGTCTTTCAAAGAAAACTATGGAAGTAGTGTTTGTGAGTCAAGATCTAACAAACGCTATGCTAGCAGCTTCGTCATTTAGCCTGTCCTCCAGGACACATTGCATGTTGGGAGGCGTGCTGCTGTGGCCCTGTGCGTCTGGGTCCAGCAAACACCTCTGAACACATATGCCCTGGTCCTCACCAAGGGCAAGAGGACAGGGCAGAGGAGGGGACCTAAGGTCTCCTACTGGCAGGCCTATGTGAGGGCTGAGGACAGCGTGGCTCTGAGTGGCTGGAAAGGCCAGGGCCAGCCCAGGCAGATTTGCTCATTAGTCGCACATGCGGGGGGCGGGGGGGTTGGCATCACATGGCTTTTGGGAACTGTTTCTAGCCCAGGAATGAGCCTGCGGAGACCCGCGTGCCATCTACCATGTTAGCGAAATTAATGCTTAGCAGTGTTCTTGGGAATTCTGCGGTTGGGCGTTCCATGTTTTTTCCTCTGCCAAAAGCTCGCCGAGCTCCTCCTCACCCTCTCGACTGCTGCAAAGGGAAGCCAGGGCTGCACATGACACAACCCTGCTCTAGGAAGACCTGGCCGTCCAGGCTTTGCTCTCACAGGCTCGCCCACCCTGCTCCGTGCTTCCTCGTGCTCCCACAGGTGGCTCCTTCTCACCTCAGACCTCTCAAGTTGCAGCCCTGGGGAGCCTGGCAGTCAGACGTGCAGGTGGTATTTCCCAGCTTACTCCCCCCACCCCAGATGTGCTGAACTAGCTACAGAGGCCCAGGTGGACATCTAAGCCACTGCCACAACAGAGAGCGAGCTGTGTTCCAGTGAGCAGGAGTGGAGCACCAGATGGGGTAAGGGCAGAGGCCAATTGTGACAGGGTACACAATGCACCAAACTGGGAAGGGGGGGCAGTCACACACAGTCAGTGACAGAATCCGAATTTTATTTTATCGACCGAAAAGAGACTCTAGAAGAACAGAAGTGGTTTTCCAGAAAAGCGGCTGGAGAAGGTGCGAACGAAGAGTTCAGACAGGCTGGGAGTGTGTCCCCGGTAAAAGTCCTGCACACTCTGCACGTGTGTGTCGGCGGTGTGTTCGCCCTTGTCTCACTGCTCTGACGAAACACTTGGCAGAAGCAGCCTAAGGAAGGAATGGTTGGATCTGGCTCACGGTCTGAGGGGGTACAGTCCAGTATGGCCGGGAGGCGAGGCAGCAGGAGAAGGCAGCTGGTCACGTGGTGTCCACGGTGGGAAAGCGGAGAGAGGAATGCTCAGAGAGCCTTCTCCTCTTGATTCAGTCCAGGACCCACGAACGTGACGAGATGGAACCGCCAACACTCAGGGTAGAGCTTCCCCTCCAGGAAGCAGAATCTTCAAACTTCCTGATGGCCCCACCCAGAGGCTTGATTCTGATTCCCATCAAGTTGACTCTCGCAATACAGACCATCCTGGTGGAAAACACACGTTACATGACTGGAGCTGTTTAAATCCCTCCCTCCCTCAGCCGATGGACAATGAGCAAGATAAACCACTAAATGGGCAGGCTGACACGTGCTGCCCATCTCTTGACCTTGGGGAATTCACAGAGCAGCCACCCAGCAGCTGCAGAGGCCTCACTCTTGCTGAGTGTGTAAGGAACCTGCACGCACCTTCTGCTCGGTGGGGTACTGTCGTCTGTCACAGGGAGTCTAATGTACAGCGGTCCTCTGGCTGCAAGGGAGCCACCTAGAGAATCTCAAGATGGCTGGAAGTTATGGGACAAAGCCAAAGCAAGACCTGCTGCTGCTGCAGTAGCGGCATGACAGTTGTGGGGAAACCAACTGCCTTCCGACGGGATCTGAGGTCTGCTTCATAGGAGGGGGATTCAAGCCTCGCACTGCACACCAGCTCAAAAGCCTGAGGCCAGGAGGTCACAGGCCCTAGGGGAGGAACTACTAGTTAAATGGGCATGTTTTCAAACTGTCTTCGAAAGATTTCTGTTTATATCCGTAAGTTAAAGCTGCTCTCAACCTTGGCCAGTGAAGCTTCTCTTTTGCAGTATGGTGCTGAGTGCAGAGACTCAACATGGGTCAGAATGCTAAAAATAAGCGACTGTGAGTGCTCAACCTTGAATGGGACATCTGTATCCACCTCCCCCCAACCCCCGCAGGGCTCAGAGAACATTGTGGAAGAGGAAGCAGGAAGAATGTAAGAGCTGGAGGCGGGGGGAGGGCTATGAAATGCTGTCCTCTGGACAGGACATGGCCCTCGAACTCATGAACTCACAGCAGCTGCTGCCATCTGCACAGATCAAGACAGTCAATGTCCCGCCATGGACAGGAGGGGCACTCCTAGAACCCCACGCCTAGATGAGGACCCACTGACAACTGATGGCTGCTGAGAAGGAGGGCTGATCGTCTCCAAAGGTATGGCTACTGGTAGGTTACCCATGGCCCTTAGATGGTTCAATACCATGTGCATTCAGGCCACACTAACTGGACTCTATGATTTTTAAAGAGGAGGAGAAGAAGGACGAAGAGGAGGAGAGAGAGGAGGGGAAGGAAGCATGGAGAAGACATGGCAAAGCGAGGGGGTGTTGACACAGATATGATCAACACCTATTGTATACGTGCATGGAACTGTCAAAGAATTTTTAAAAAAATATTCTGTAAAAAGAAGGCAAAAATATTCACAGCTCACAGAAGCAAACACAGGAGAGAGAGCATCCCAAGAGCAGTGGCAGCAGAGAACAGCATATCCTACTTTGCTGTGTGGCTAACATCCTTAGAGAGAGAATTCTGGTTGACATACCATGTCAGCCATGAATGACTTTCAAGTGGATGGATAGTGTGAGCCTCTGTGTTAGGGAAGAGAAGAGGGAAACAAATTAAACCTAAGATCAAAGGAGCTGATAGCAAAGATGAGAAAATCCTGACGTGCCGGCAAGATGGCTCCAAAGGTGGAGATGGGCATCAAGGCTGACGACCTGGGTTCGATCCCTGGACCTATATGGTAAGAGAACTGACTCCACAAAGCTGCCCTCTGATCTGCACATGCAAGTGTTGGCATACAAACAAACAAACAAACAAACAAAAATGTAATAAAGAAAACATTAACAATAAGGAAACAGGGAAAAAAAGTAGAAAAAGAATGAAATCCCAAAGCAGTATCTTTGAAAGTGTTAATACAGGTGATAATATTTTTATATCAAATGACTAAAAAGGAAACAGAAAATAAAAACACAAATCACAGATAGTGAGGACAAAGGAGGAGCCATAACTACAGATCTTATGGGTATTTTTGTTTTTTTGTTTGTTTGTTTGTTTGTTTTTGTTTTTTTTTTTAATGAGCTACATAGCTGGGTGGTGATGATACATGCATTTAAGCCCAGCACTTGGGAGACAGAGGCAGGCAGATCTCTGTGAGTTTGAGGGCAGCCTGGTCTACAGAGTGAGTTCCAGGACAGCCAGGGCTATACTGAGAAACCCAGTCTTGAAAAACCCAAAAAAATAAAAAACTGGTCTGTAAAACATGGGAGCAGTTTTATGTTAATAAAGTCAATGAGAGATAAAATGTAGAAACTAAACACACACACACACACACACGCACACACTCACTTGTCTAAAGTAGTAAGAGACAGAGTATCTCAATGGCTCTGAGTACACTGAGGTTGAACACAGCCTCCATCCTTCCCGGGCTCTTGGGCCTTGGGCAAGCCTGGGCCCTAACACCCAGACCTACTGGGTGACGGCTGCAGCTGACATACAGTGGACTCTTAGCAGACACCCCTGCGACATACCCTCTTTCCATCCTTCTCATCAAGCAAAGGAGACAACAGGAGCTGGAGAGGGAAAGGAACTCTCTCCCACAGCCACACAGCTGTAGCAGGGAGAGCTGTCAAGCTTGGATAAAATAAACTGTTCCAGATGACAAAGGCAGCACCTGCTGTACTGGCTGGCCCCACATGCCAGTCCCCAGAAAGCCCCACTCTACCCACATGGGCCGCCCAAAGGTGGCAGGTGTCATTCTGTCATTATTTCCCCCAAAAAAAGCAGCTCAGAGAATTCCAGTAACTTGCTAAAGCACACAGCCATAATGGAACAATTTTATTAAAGTACTTAAAAAAAAAAAAAAGTAATTAAAAAAACAAAACAAAACAAAAAACCAAGTACTTCCCAAAAACGCTTTGGGTAGCTCTGAAATTTGTGTCAACTCTTTCCAGTCTGGTGAAGGAGCAGAATGCAGCCCACACTCCCTTCATGTCCTTCCCAGTCCCTCCTGGAATGGGCCCTATGTCTCCTGTGTGGCCTCATGGGTAGACCATGAAGCAACTTCACTCTGGCCCAGTCCCAAGGCAGCCTGTGCCTCCACCCCACTGCTTGAGTGGTTTGGATATTCGGAGTAATTTCTGTTCGTCTTCGTAGGGCCAGATTGGGCCGGACAGCAAGGATGTTCGCTGTGAAATGTTGGCGTGGCCAGTGCACTTTTCCTCAGTGCTGAAGCACAGAAGCTCAGCCACTGCACTTCGAGGGCATCCCTCTCTCGCACCCTCCATCTTTGCTTCCCAGAAGCCACCGTCTTGCCAAGGCCGCAGGGAAGGCTGTCCTTTCTCCTGGTCTGGGAACCATTTTGTGTGGGAAACGGAAGCAGCATTTTGTTCAAGGAAAGAGACAGAGTGATCACCAAGTGCACACGGCATCATTTCTGTGCTGGCAGCCGCCGGCTCGCAGCTTAATTACACAGCGGGACATGCTCTGCAGAAAGCAATTACGCTGCACAGCTTCCCTAGAGCGCTACAGGCACACCCGCCCTCAGGAAAATCCAAGCCTCCTCTCATCCCAGGTGCCCTCCCTCCCTCAGGTGCGTGTGTCGGGCTCTTTCCGGGGTGGCGGAGTATTTGAATGGGGAACTTCTCCCATGGCTGACTGATCCAGAGTCCACAAGGCCAGGGGAGCACAATCCTGCCCCCACCTCATCTGCCCCCACACCTGGCTGGGAGCTCAGAGCTTGGCAGCCTCGCTTGTGCCTTTTAGGGAGCCAGTCACACCGTCTACCCATCCCAACGTGCCTGGTCCTTCTCCTATGGGGAAACCACGTCCTAAGAGAGAAATCTGCCGGTGCTCTGTTCTACCCTGCTTACAGGGAATGCACAGACACACAGCTATCTGTCCCCAGCATACAAGTATGCACACATATGTATATACATATACATGTATATATGTATATACACATGCACAATTCACACATATGCACACGTAATTATGAACCTACATACTTGTGTACATACACATGCACACACACACATCCACAGGCATGTGCACATGGAAGATAGGGCATGTCCCCAGGAGCCGAGGCTGCCGGGGTCCCGCCCGCTCCATCAGCTTCTCTGAAAGGCCCCTTTGTGACAGGAGGGCCCTGACCCTGCACAATGCTCTCTTGTCCACCAGCTTCCAGAGAAGGAAGGGAGCAATTTCGCAGCGGTTTCCCCAGCGCTGAGTTCTGCCGGAGACTCACGTTTCCCAGACTGATCTGCAGCTCAGACTCTGTCCGCAAGGAGACCAGGCCTGTGCCTGGAGAAGGCTGGCAGAGCAGAGCACAGGAATTCAGTGTGGTCTTCCCTGGGATGCTGCAAAACTCAGCAGGGCCGTGGCCACACCCTGGCAGACCACTGGAAACAAGGTACCGGAAAGAAAACCCAGCCAGCAGGCCAAGCAGCGCTTTTCTTCCTGTGACCTGAAGGCAAAGCTTTGCGTGTTGGGAAGGCTGATTACACACTGGACACTCTCTGGGGGAAGGAGATTTCTTCTCAGCTCTGAGGCGTCAATCACAGAAACCCATCCAGGTTACCACCGGCAGGTGTGCCTGGGGACAGGCTGTGCCCTTGCTGTGGGGCTGCATGAGGTCCATTTCTCTACAGCTCCTACCTCACTTAGCTCAGCATCCCCACTCTGCAGATGCCACTGGCCTGTGGTACCCAAAACTCTGGCATGAACCCCCAAGACCCAACAGTGATGATTTGTGTTGGATCCGACAGGAAGAAAGTTTGGGGTTTTAGGCTGTCTCAGGGTAAGCCCAAAGCCAACCTACAGCTGATTGAAATAAACAAAACCAGCATTTAGGAAATTCTTTCCATGCTTCTCTGGAGTATGCAACAGGACTGACTTCTCAGAATGTTCCAGGGAGGGGAGCCTGGGACCAAACTCTCCTCTGAGTAAGAAGATCTGCTTTCCTGGTTGTCCTTGAAGGTGGGTGGACCCTTCCTGGGCCACCAGCACAGCGGGACACAGAGCAGTGACACCCCAAGATGGCACAGAAAATGGCCATGGTGACTCTGAGCAAGCTCCCATGCCTGTGAACCTCAGTTTCTTACACCTAAGCCCTGTGCCTAACAGCCCCTGGGCATACAGAAGGGAGTTAATACTTACAGCGGCTGAAGGCTGTTGATGCATAATAAATGCTCAGCATGTCACTGTGGCTGTCTTCATTCTCTACACATGTGTGATGGGCCCACTATCATGCCACATGCAGGACTCAGCTCCACCAGGAGGGTGCAAAGACCAGTGGCGGAGGTTAGGACTCACCATGCCAAACTTGGTCCTGGAGAATGTCAACACAAACTCTAATAAACACACATCTAAGTACACTGGCTGAGAACCCCGGGACCAGGCCTGGTGGCTGACACAGTGTCCAAAGACTGGGCCTACAGGGCAGATGGACAGCAACCACGACAGGTCCATGCGTCCCTGTGACCCGGCTGCAATCAAGTTCTCATTGCTTCCAAGGTATTTGGTGGATGTGATGAGACTCCAGCATTCTAGCTTTTAAGTACAGAAGCCAACCAGACATTAAATGCAAGTAGGGTTTCCATGGCTGGGGGAAAGCACCCCAAGATAGTGCGCCAGTGCCTGTGCCAGAGCTGTGGCTATCCAACAGGTATCACCTCTCACTGACACTTGACTTGACCGGTGTCCCTCCTGCGTCTCCCAACCCCCACCTCCATCCCTCTCTCCACCATCTACAGAACCAGGTACTAAGCCTTCCCGGGGACACAGGCACGCCTACATTTTTGCTCCTGGGCTTCCTGGGGTCTGGACAGGTGAGAAGTGGGTCTCTCTGTGTGAAGTGAAGGGATCCAAGGCATCCTCCTGTTAGGGAGCAGCACCCCAGGCATGTAAACACTGGTTCCACACCTCTGCAGATCCAGGAAGGCCTAGGCAGAAAGGGTCAGTCAGCATCATCTTCTGTTCTCTCACGTTGGCCCCTCATGTGATGCCATCGTGATACCTGGTCTGGTTCGGGTCACTCGACTCTGTTTGCCTGTTGGTCTGCCCTGTCATTTTCCTCTATGTGCGATGTCTGGTATGCTGGACAGAGAAGCTGCTGGGCGTCAGTGTGAGAGTTAGGGATGTGCCCTGCGAGCAGGTCTCAAGACCCCCAGAAGCCTGGGCCTGGCCTGTGTGTGCTCTAAATGCTTCTTCATTCCTTTTCTATCCTTGCCCTTGCCCTCAGGTAGACAGGAAGGCTGAGGCCCAAGAGTGGATACTTCAGGCCACATGTTGGAGGCTTGATCCTCAACGTGGCAGAGCTGGGATATGGTAGGATCTTTAATAGGCATGACCTAGGGAAGAGTGGTTGGGTCACTGGGAGCACGGCTTTCAGAGGAGATGCGCAGGAAGTACGTCACAACCAAGTGAGACGGCCCCACTCAGCCTTCTAACTGCCATCTAACCTTGCCACCTCCTCCCTCCCACCCATTGCTACTGTGATGCCATTAGTCACACCACGGCACAGCCAGGGCTTTAGCCACACCACAACACGTGCTGGCTAGGATTTTGTTTTGTGCTGTCAACTTAATACAGGCTGGTGTCCTATTGGGAGGGGGAGCCTCGGCTGAGGAACCGCCTCTATCCCACCTGTCGATAGACAAGTCTGTGTGGAAAAGCCTTGATTGATGTGGGAGGGCTCAGCTCCCTATGGGGGATGCCACCCCGGGCTAGTGATCCTGAGTTACCTAAGACAGCAGGCTGAGCAAGCTAAGGAAAGCCAGTGAGCAGCATTCCTCCACCGTCTCTGTGTCCGTTCCTGCCTTCAGGTTCCTGCCCTGATTCCCTCGATGACAGGCTTTGAACTTTTCCTCCTGAACTGCTTTCGATCATAGTTTTTTTCACAAAAATAGAAAGCAAAGTAGGCACGCACAAACTGCGGTCAACCTCTTCTCTTTGTAAAGTGATAAGCCTCCAGTGTTTTATCATACCAACATCAAATGCACTAAAGCATATCGCAGGAGGGGACTTTGTTCCCAAACTCAGGAGAAGAGGGAGGCAAAATTTGCACGAACTGGCTGGGCTAGCCCTCTCGGCCAGGGCAGGAGCAACATGGCGGCTGTGGCACACTCCAGAGGGCTCATTTCTCGGAAAGGCTCCACAGACCCGGCCCCCCTCCCTCGAGGCTCTGCCTCACGTGCTCGGAAGTTCATCACTGAGGTGGGTTGAATCCTTTCTGTTGGTTTGAAGAAATGTAACTTCTCTTGTTTGTTATAGCCACATTTGTTATTTAAAGGAGTAAAATAATTAAAAACAAGTGGTCGCTTGCCGCCTTGGGTTTTATCTTTACCATCACATTTGACGTAATAATTGTACGGTAACAGAAGCCCATGAACTTCATCTGTCACCTATGACTTACAATACCGGATCTTTTACTTAACAAAAGATGTGGAAATTAGATTCTTCATTGTAGCCAGCTTCCTGGGACCAGCTTCTCCATTTCTCTCTGACTGAGGGGCTTAGACAACAGAGTCTAGTTTCCCTCTGCTCTGGAGGCCAGAGTTTGGAAGGTGAGGGCACAGCTGACCCTTTAGGGGCTCTGGGACTATTCTGCCTCATTCCAGCACCCAGTGTCCTCAGCCATCCTAGGTCTTCCTCACTGAAGTGACCCTTCCAATGTCTACCTCAGTCACCAGGAGCCTTTCTCTTAAAAGGGCATGGAGGCCAGAGAGATGGCTCAGCAGTTAAATGTGATTGATACGAAACCTGGTGACCTGAGTTTGATCCCTGGAACCCACACAGTGGAGAGAGAGAACTAGCTGGGCATAGCAGCACACACCTCTAAGCCCAGCAATTGGGAGGCAGATGCAGGCTGATCTCTGTGGGTCTGAGGCCACAGGACCTTCTCTCCAAGCTGAAAGATGCATGCCTTCTAACCTCTTTGGATCCTCAGTTGTGACATCTGAGAAAGAGAATCAGGACACCTGCCTCAAAAGGCTATGGGGAACCTAGCACTTACTTCCCAGAGTGGTCTGGTATTGCCACCTCAGAGCTGCCCGTGACCCACCCTGAAAACAGATGAGAGAGAGACAGAGAGACAGGAATCGACAAGGCGGCAAAAAGAACTGCCTCCCCTCACCAAGACTGAGAGTCAGGCTCAGCCGCATCTCCGGTTTTGAATGCATGCTGCGGAAGGGCGTGCATGAGCATTTTGGAGGCCAAGAGGCTATGTGCGTGTGTGCTGTGTCCATGTGTGTATGTGGTACGTGTGTATTGTATGCATGTGCGTGCCCCAGCAAGCAGGGCCCAGAAGAACTGCCCTCTAGCCAACACAGCTCACACCCCTGGGTGAGAAGCTCAGGATCCCCAGACAAAAATCACAGAATACGGGTTGAAGGTCTGGGCTCTTGCCTGACCTGGAAGCTGAAGGTTGACCTCTGGCCAGCTGGGCAGGGGACCTAGCCCACGCTCCTAGAGATCACAGCTGTGATGTGTGGTGTGTGCCGGGGGAGGGGGGGGGAGTCAGCCTTGTGACTAGTCTGCCCTCCAGAGACCTTGGGCAAACATTTAGACTGGGACTCCCTCCTCTCCTCTGATATGTCCAAATATTTGTAGCTTGTGGGTCACCCACGCCACTTCCTGAGAGACAGGATTTGGGATGACCCTGCCCACACAACTCCAGTCCCTCAGAGTGAGGCTGAGAGCCTTCAGTGTGTTTGAAAGGCTCTGGTTCCACCTGGGCCACCTGTCCCCCGGATGGTGAGGAAGGGGATGGTGGGGTGAGGCTGGAAAGAAGGTGACTTGAAGCATCTTTTGTGCTCTGCCCAGGCTAGAGCTGACAGATGATAAACTGAGGCCTGGCCTGAGCGCCAAAGTCGAGCCCTCTCCCCTAAACCCAGTTCTCCTTTGCCTCTCGCTGCTGGTTCTGCTCATTCTTTCATTCATTCCTCCTAACATCCCAGAGTTACCCTCTACTCTTTCCCCCTCTTCCTCTTACCCCTCACCTTTCCTCTCCTTTGTGATAGGAGCCAACCCAGCTTCTGTGTAGACTCACCCACAGATGCAGGCTCTCCCACTGAGCTACCCCGCCCCCAACACACCCCCAGAATGACTTCCCTGCTCCCTCCCTAGCTGCAGCCTTCACTGAGCTCTCTGACTTAACTCCCCCCTCGGGGGTCCTGGGAAGAAATGGGACTTCTCCCTCAATTCAGACAGGAGGCCACTGCAGCACGGAGAAGTGGATGACACACCTAACAGCCCAGCAGTCTGCAGATCCCACATTACTGCTGGAGCACCTGGGTGCAGTTCTCCTGGGGCCTCCCAGCTGCAAGCCTGGTGAGCATCTGTCAGAACACCAGCTCCCAATCCGCAGCGGTGCAGCAACTCAGAGGTAGATGCCAGGCCTGTGGTGGGCAGAGGCAATGCCAGAGAGGGCCTGGAAGCCGGGTGCTCCTGCCTGGGCCGCCTGGAAAGCCCAGCCTGTACTTAGCTCTCACGGTAAATAACAGCCCTGGTTTCTGCTAAAAGGATTCATTCCCAGAATGCAGTCATTTCCATCCCCTGCTCCCTACAACCCGTATTTTATGGCTAAATATACGCCATAATGAGGCTCTGACCTGATGGCGTCGTTAAGGAGATATTTGACCTTGGGTTTAATTGCAGGATGGGAGAAATGGCTGGGGTGCACACAAGGGACCCTGCCAGAGCACTCAGGATTCAGCATCTGGCGTCCCTGGCCCCGGAGAAAGTGGACTGACAGAGAAAGCTGTGCCTGAGGCCAGTGATCCTCAGCCAAGACCCACCCTGGGGTGCCCAAACCTGTGGGCCGCATGAGTCCTAAGGGGCTCCTTCTCTTAGACCCTCTTTATGTCTGACCCTAGTCTCTCCAAAGCTCCCCGGTGGGAAAAAAAAATGCCACTGAACTCCAGGAGCAAAGAAAAAGGACAGGCCAACTTGCCGGACAGGCTATACACCAACACCGTGGGGCACAGGGAACAGAATCCACCTGCTACTGCCTAGATCGTGGCCTGAGTTAGGATGGCAACCGGGCAGGAAAGTGGGGGTGGAGCCGTAACCTGCTGGCCCAAGGGGACTCAAGGCCCACAGGGACAGAGGGGCTGCCCCTTCCCCTTCTCATTCTGCACCTCTGCAGCTTGGATTCTTCCCTAGGCTGCTCAGTGTCAGTGCTCCAGGGCCTCTCAAGTGGGTGTCAGTGAGTGCACTGGGTTTGAAGAATGCCCTTGAAAGACAGCCTGTTGCCAATAACTGTGACTTACACCCACCAGTTCTGTTTTGGTGGGTTAGGGACCTTAAGCATCTGGGGGTGTGTGTCAAGGCTCTACTGTTCCCCCACTACAATCACACACCTAACTTGCCACCCAAGACCTTTTGGTGGCTAATTAAGAAAAAGCCTGGCAAGCCTGGCAAGCCTGGCGTGGTGGCATGCAGCTTCTGAGTTTGAGGGACAGCCAGGGGCTACTAAGAGAAACCTCGCCTCGAAAAGCAAAACAAAACACAAACAAAAGAAAAGCCCAGGTATCTTCAGGGCTGGCTGCAAAGTCCTCCTCTGTGGCCTAACAGACTGCTCCTCCCCAGATGAAAGGGGAGGAGGTCCTCCCCTATCAGGGGACTTGGAAAGGGGCAGGGAGGAGACCAGGGAGGGAGTGTGGGGTTGGGGAGGGAATGAGGGAGCGGGATACAGCTGGGACACAGAGTTAACAAAATGTAATTAAAAAGAAAAATAAAATAAAATAAAAAAAAAAAAAAAGAAAAGCCCAATGGTGTCACCGGCTCCGGCTCCGGTGTCACTGGCTCTGTTACAGAAAGTGGGGATACTGAGGGGCCAGCCAGTCTCCTGGAGCTCAGCACTCAGCCCTGAGGTGGCTGAGCAGAGCAGGGCCAAGTGTTTCCTATGAGTGTGCGGAGCATGCTGATGCCTAACCCTGGAGTGGTAGTTTGTTCAGGCCCATAATTCCAGAAGGGAAGGCAGGAGAATCCTAGTGAGTTTAAGGGCAGTGCTCAGGGCCCAGTTAGGCTGCAGAATAAGACCCTGTCTCAAAAGTAAATAACACATAAATATATTCTTAAACCCAAACCTCTCCCCCTTGAACACTCCATCCAAGGACAAGTTCATGGCAGGACTTCTTATGGGCGGGGATCCCTCTCCCCTCCTTTGGGAGGTTGTCTCCTGAGCTGGGCCCGGCTCTTCTCCCTCATGCTAAGTTGCCAGAGTTTACGTAGGGGTGTTTTACAGTTGGGAAGAAGCACAGGCCCCAAAGGAGGAGGGTATTGTGGTACCCCAAATTGGCCTGAGGTCCAGCTGTCTAGGTGGGGAGCAAACCGGGCACCTCCTCCCAGCAGGCACCCGCCGGCAGAGCATGGGAAGGAAGTGTGTCCGATAACCCTCAGCGCCCAGTCTTCCAGGAAAAGATTAGACAAAGCTCCCGAGCGGAGTGGCTGGCCGACCGGTCCCCGAATGGGCCTGGCTTTGGGCTGTGGTCAAGCTGCTGTCTGGAAAGGGGTTGGGAACACCTCCAAAGTCGGTCAAGCCTTCTGTCCTGGTTCACACAGCCATCCCTTTCCCACCTCTCTGGGCCACCACCCACCTCCCTGAGGAACCCTGTAGCTCCTGTTTTTTTTTTTATTTCTTTATCCCAAGTTCTCCTTTGCAGAAGAAAAGGAGGGGGTGGAAGCCTGCTCCAACCACCACTCTGCTTTCCCACAGGCAGGGGAGATGGAAGGAGCGCCATTGTTGGGAGAAAAGGAGGGAAAAGATCACTGTCTTAGGATGGGGGGCCTGGGTTTGTGTCTGGAAAAACCAAGGGCTCTGAGGGAGGGAGGCAACTGGGTGAGGAAGAGGAGTCAAACCCCTGTTGAATGAAAGAAAAAGCCGAGCGGGGGAAGGGCTATCTTCCCTCCTTTTGGAAAGAGCCTTTTGGGCCTGTAAGGAGCCCTTTCTCCTCTGCCAAACCAATTGCATTGCTGCCTCAGCAAGCTTTCTCAGTTGGGAGAGCCCAGGGCGGGCTGGAGGGGTGCATAAATTGACTGGGGGTTCCTGAAGCAGCACCCCATGCTGGCATGGGTTCTCCTACTCAGTCTCCCGAGGCAAAGCCCTTTCAGAGTAGAGCCCCCAGCGGCCCCTAACTCCAATCCCAGGCTGTTTGTAACCCCATCCTTTTTCCATTAACGTAAACACCACTTGAGCAAAAATATACAGGGCCACCTACTTCGCCAGGAGGATGGTCCAGCGCCCACCAACCCACCGGCTCCTGTCCAGGCAGCGGTGCTCAGGACACTGGGTCTGTCCTGTCCCCTCCCCTCTTGCCCCGCCAGGCCATGGCACCACAGGCAGCTTTGAAGCCTGGGGCTCCAGCCTCTCGGGCCACAACCCCCACCATCAACTGGAGTCCTGGTGGCTGTGTGGAGTAGTCAGCTCAAATTCCTGGTTAAGCCACTAGCTGATAACGGCCCCCCTCCCGAGCTAGCCAGCTCCTCTCTACCTGCCCGCCAGGACGCTCCCTGCCCTGCCGCATAGGCCCTGGTGCCCGCCACCACCGCCTTAAGCTAATTGAGATGGAGCCGGCCAAGCTTTCCTTCAGCTGGAGGCCGAGGGCCAAGGGGTTGGGAATAAGGCCAGGCCAGGGACTAAGCATCGGCGATCGGTCCTTTTGGTGGAGTCAGATTAAATGCATGCTGGTGTGAAAGGTGACTCTGCAATCCTAGGTAACTGAGCACTGTCGTCATTTGGGGGCTGTCTGGGGCCCTGTAATCACTGGTACTGAAAATTGAAAATACTGAAAAATCAACCGGGCCCCACCAGCCTCCAGGGCAGGTCTACGGGCAGGTGGAGTTAAAGACGGCCTTGCTACGGCGCAGGCTCGGCCTCGATGTGACACCACCCCTTCTCAGACTGACCTCTAAGAAATATTTTCATCCCCGGAACCACTGTCTCCCATTTTAAGACAAAAGCTTAAAATGGTGTTTCATGGGCAAAAATCAGATGCAAGCACACCCAATTTCCAGTCTCCTCACCTCACTGGCCATCTGGGCTTCCGACTTCGGCACTCTCGTCCCTGGCTCGCTTCTCCCCTCCTGGCCCCAGGGTGGAGGTGGCCTCTCTCCAGGGTTAGGTACTCAGGCTAAAAGTAATGTCCGAGGCAAAAGGCGATGAACTGGGTCCCCCAGAGAGTGGCTGGCGCGTCCGTCCCCCTCGGCTTCGGCTCCCCACCTCCTGCAGGGGTAGGAGGTTCGAAGAAAGGCCGAAGCTCGAGCAGAGCCGGACAAGGCAAATGGCTAGCTGGAGAGGGGTGCCTTAGGAGAGCGCTCAGCCGCTTTCCCAGCCGAGCGGTGGGATTTGGGGCCCAGGGTCCTTCCCCAGCTTGCACTCCTCCCCCGGCTGGTGGAGGGAAAATAAACACCGAGTTCACAAAATCAGGACCCGTCATTAGCCCAACCGCAGTAAAAAGAATTGCTCCGAGGATCGGGAACCAGCCGGGACAGCCGGGGACCCTCCCGCTGCCTCGCCCCAGGGGACTCGGATCCCGCTGCGGCCGGGGCCACCGGGCCAGAACCCCGAGAGGCTCGGGCAGCTATTAACGGCACTTTCTTTGCCTCCTCCATCATCCAGATCAACGGTGCGCCGCCGCCTCGGCCGGCCGAAAGCCAGCCAGGGATGTTTTTGGTTTTTTTTTTTTTTTCCTGAGAGACTGTGATGGGGGAAAAATATTCCAGACAGACTCACAGAATTGAGTGGGTCTCCGCTGCTCCGCTGCTTATCAAGGAGAGGAAATTTAGGAGCAGGTAGGAGGCAGCCGAGGGCAGCCTGGAGCTAGCTCACCTCGGTAGGAAGGGACTTCGAAAGCGGCCGAAAACCCCGCTCGGCAGGGAGGGAGGGAGGGAGGAGAGGACGCTCCTTCAAGCCCACGAAAGGGCGAATTCGAGTCCTAATTAGGTTGGTTTTCACGGTGAATTAAATAGATCTCAGCCCAATTTGCAGGGGAAATAATGACCCCCTAAGAGGGCAGCGCTGAAAGACTGTCTTCAGTTCTTCACAGAGAGGAGGAAGGCGAGAGGGAAGATGAAAAATGGAGCTGACCTAGGGATGTAAGGAAGTATTTGAAATATGTTTGGGTTTGTATTTTCAAAAAAAAAAAAAAAAAAACAAAAACAAAAAAAAAACCCCAGCTAATTGTGAACATCCTCCCATGCCAGGGACAGAATTTTTGCAGGCAATTAATTGAGAACTCCTAAGAACCCCGGGGTGAGGGAGCTCCCTGCTGCTGAGGCAGAGAAGCAAGCAGGAGTAAAGCCGGGAAATTCCTTTCAAAACGAACAGGCACCAGAGGCTGCAAGCGACCAAACTTCAGAATGCTGGTGGCACTTCTGAGCGTTGAGAAAATAAATTTAAAAATAAAAATAAAAGGATGAGAAAGCTTGACCAGTCTGTGGTGGGTTTGCCTTTTTTTTTTTTTTTTTTTTTTTTTTTTTGGTCAATTTGCAGGGCACGAAGTGGCTGGCTACGCTGGGGAGTGGGTTGGCAAATCCTGCTGGCTGGTAAGACTGTGAAAGTGAAGTGGGTAGCAGAAAATAATCGCTCTAAGGAGGGAGAGGAGAGGAGGAGGGGAAAGAGAGTTCCCAGAAAAGAGTAAGTGACAGGCAGAGACAGAAACAGGCGTGCAGAGAGGAGGGATGGACGGGTTGAATCTTAAATCGCAAGGGACTAAGGGTCTCTCTGGGTACTAGTGGTTTTCTGCAAAGGCCCTAAGTGGAGAACTCTAAGCAGCAAGCCTCTCCCAGGTCCGTTTATGAAAGGGAGCTGGGAGCCCTGACCTCCAAAAAGCTAAGCCTAGTTTCCTTCAGAGGCACCTTTGCTCAAAAAAGTCCTCCTCTTCCAAGTCCGCACCTTGACAGAAGTCTCAGTAACAATTCTCCCTTAACTCCCCAGAAAGGGAGGTCAGAAGATGAGTCACCAACTGAGCAAAGAGGACCCCCGCTGCTGTCCAGAGGTGGTCAGCCGGCCCCACCCTACCCCCTCCCTGGCACTTCTCAGAAATGGGGCAGGAGAGTGTGGTACCAGGAAACTGTTGCTCCCCCAGCCTGCTACTTCTGCTCTCTTGCCAAGCGAGGAGGAGAAGGGGAAACCAGTGGGCAGTGCACATGGGCCTGGATGGTCTGGGGGGCTGAAGATGTGCTTTTGTTAAGAAGCGGGGTGGGATGTCTGGGGGAGTACACGCTTTTAATCCCAGCATCCCCGAGGAGGGGGCAGGCTGATCCAATGGGTTTGAGACCAGCCTTGGTCTACAGAAAGAGTTCAGAGACAGCCAAAGCTACACAGAGAAACCCTGACTCAAAAATAAAAAACAAGCAACCACGGAAAGAGAGAGAGAGAGAGAAAGGAAGAAGGAAGGAAGAAAAAGAGAGGGGAAATGTAGTGGAAAGCTACTTCCTAGGACCAAACCTGCAATATACCCAAGGGGAGTTTGGGGACACTGTCTCCCCCTCCTCACAGCTGCCACTGGCAGCATTGGTGGCATCTGCCGGTCCCTCCAGAAGAGAAGCCCCTTCAAAGCGCTCCTAGGGAGCTTTGGGTGAGCTCTGCTGTCCCGCTAATGCAAGCAGGTGCTCAGAAATTCCTCCAGGCTGCACTTCTGCAGTCTCCGGGCTGCCCTAGAGGGAAGCCAGGGTGATTCTGCTAGCAAGCTGCCTGGAAATCGCAGCAGCAGCAGCAGCTCCCTCAACTGGGAGGGAACCCGCTCCGAGAGAACACCCACGAGCTCCCCCAGGGGCTCTGATGACAACAGACTGGAGCCCAGGACTAGCTCTGTAGAAGGGCACCTCTGAGCTGTGTCAGCTTTCCGGTGTGGGAACTGCCCTGTGCTGTTCCCAGACCCTTCTGGAAACCAGGCAGGGGCGCTTATCCCTGTCCTTCTGCTCCACCTCTGATCCTCTTTCCTATTAGCTCTGGTGCCCAGGCTGGGGCTCCACAGACTTTGAGGGGCTGTTAGGTCTCACCCTTCGGGCCCTGTGAACAGCAAGGCTCCAGGGATCTCTGCACCTTGGGAAGAAAAACCCCACCCAACAATTACCAGCGCATCTGATCCTCCCAACCACACAGAAGCGAGACTGTATCTTTATTCCTGTTTGCACAGAGACGCAAGGCCACTGGCTCTGGGCCACAGAGCAGTGGAACCAAATCTTAACCATAAATCGTTACTACAGGGCCCAAGTGGTTATGTTTGTTTGTTCGTTTAACAATTTGACATGGTTTGAGTTTACAGTGTCTTTCCTCCCTGACCCTGCCAGGCTCCTAGAACACTGTGGGCTGATGTTTTTCTGCTTATCAGTCAGTCAGCTCATGGATGAGCACTGACATCACAAGGTTGGCAAGATGAGGAAACTGAGGCACCAGGAAACTGAAGCGCAGGTGCCTGGACAGTCCTGTAAGTTTTCCCTCTGGGGCCTTCTCTGGGTGCCAACAGTGGGTACTCAGCAAAGTTTCTCACCAACACACGTGCATACATGCATAGTCACACACCGATGCATGTAGGGACAGGCATAGGAGCATGAAACCCTGCCTCTCTCTCTCTCTCTCTCTCTCTCTCACACACACACACAGGCAGGCACACACACGTACACACGAGTGTGCGCAGCAGACACACAAAATCTTCAGAATGGGTTTCAAGCCTCTCTGTGAGGATGCCTTACTCCCTGATTTTACTCTAGTCACCTCAGGGAGAACCTCCCCAGCCCCTACCTTGACTGGAGCAAGCACTCCAGTTTTCTTTTCTTCTGCAAACTCCTGGATATCCTCCTGCCTCAGTCTTCTGGGATTGCACCTGCAATCCCGGAACTGCCACTCCATCCCGTTTTCAAACTCATTTCTTCCCTGAGTCCCTTTGAAACTGCCATCCTCCCTCTGGCTACTAGCTCGTTGTTCTTTTACCTGAATGCACAAAGCAAGTCTGACCACACGCCCAAAGATAAATCTTTTTAACCTGGCTGGGACAAAGAAAGAAGGGAAGAAAGGGAGAGGGAAAAGAAAAGAAAAAGATCCGCACTGCAGCTGGCAAAGGGCTCGCCCCTACTTTCTCAGCTAAGCCTGGACTTCTTCTGGGAGCTGACAGATAATCTCTCTCCTCTCCTGAGGGCCTGCTAGGCTGAGTGAGGTTTGCTTCTCTCTGCAAAGGCAGTTTTCTCCATTTTCATTGCCCTCTAACGGGTGCGGTGAGTGTGCCCTTGAGTGTGCTAAGGCTATACTGCACAGACACCTTGGGAGCAAGACCTGTGCACCAGCCAGTTACCAGCTGCAAACTGCTGGGGGTTTTGTTTTTGTTTTTAAGAAACAAATCTGAGCCTCCCCCACCCCCACCCCACTGTTCTAGCTAAGGGCTGTGGCCTCTCTGGCTGAGCCCTCTCCCCTCCAGGTGTTCCTGCAGGCTGTGTGCACACACAGGCCTGCTCTCCTCTGTCTTACTGCATCTCTCTTAAATCTGAAAAACATAAAAATAAAAATATCTGGCCCTTGACGTTTTGCTGTAGGCTCGTGGTTTTTGGTTTTTTTTTTTTTTTTTGTTTTGTTTTGGTTTTTTTTTTTGTTTGTTTGTTTTTTGTTTTTTTTTTTGAGAGCTCATTTCTCTTCCTTTCCCGCTGTCCTTCTCAGTCCTACTTTCACTAGGAACCTCCAAACTCCTCTGCACCCTCACCTTTCTGTGATCAGTGTCCCTCTGCTCAGATCCTTCCTCAGAAGCCCACTCTGGTGGCCTCAGTCTCTCTCTGTGTCTCTGTCTCTGTCTCTCTCACACACACACTCACACACAAAGCAACATTCTCTCCGTCTTTCTAAGTACAGCTAAGATAAAAAAAAACGTTTGGAAATAGCTGGGGTGCCTCTTTAGGAAAAAAAAAAAAAAGAGTTGCCAGGGAAGCAGGCATTAGAACCTAGCCTTCAAGAGGCTGAGTGTCCCAGGATCTGGTCTCCTTCGGGACACAGGGAAAGGATCTGTATCTGATCTTCTGGGAAGGCTCCTGACTGACCATCTCTCAAGGCAGAGCTGTACATTCCCAGGCTGCAATGCCATCAAATATTTCACTGAAGGATGTCATGGAAAATGATGTTTTGGGATAGAAGGGCCAGGGGAAGACTCAAGCTCAGGCTTCAGCACGGAGTGCTTGGCCTTATTTATTTATTTGTTTATTTGTTTGTTTGTTTAGACAGAGTCTGCTGTAGCCAAGCCTGCCCTCACACTCATTGTGTGGCTCAGGATGACCTTGAACTTCTGATCCTCCCATCTCTACCTCCCAAGTGATGGAACTGGCTGATTTATACCATGCCTAATTTATCTGGTTCCAGGTATCTAATCCAGGATTTTGGGCATGCTAGGCAAGCGATTTTTTTTTTTTTTAATTTGGTTGGTTTGATTTTTTTGTTGTTGTTTTGCCAAACTGCTACAACCACGGCCTTTTTTTTTTTTTAACTAAATTATTAAGCTGTGCATAGGGGAGATATAGGTTCTAGAAGCTGGCGATGACACTTGGCAAGCCTTCTGTACCCCTCACTACCTTCCTTCCAGGACAGCAAGTCCTCTGGTGCTTGGCTGGGGACAACAACCAGCGGAACCCTCTCCTTCCAGCGAGGTGCACCCCCACACCATCGGCTGCCTCGTGCCTGTTCCAAGGACACCACCGCAGAGTACACGCCTGACAGAAACCACACAGCACATCCCAAAGCCCGTTTCTCCGCTGCCTGCGGAGTTAACAGTGCCCTGCCTCCTGGGCACACTGTCACCCTCCGCCATTTCTCCATTTCTCCACTGAGCGTCAAGCAGTAACACCCTGCAGGCTCGCCTCACACTCCAGCATTCTCCATCACAACAGGATGTGTTGTCCCGAGCTGTTATTCCTTTGGGGGACAGAGTCTCCAATATCCCAGGCTGCTCTTGAACTTGCTACGCTCAAGGATGACCTTGAACTTCTGATCTCCCTCCCTCCACAATCTGAGTGTTGCAATTACAGCCCATTGCTGCTCTGTTTTACCAGTGCCCATGACGGAACTGAGTGCTTTTGTACACACACGCTACCAGCTAAGCCGGTGGAAAGATTAAAAGGGAAGCCCTGCCCAGTTAGAACCTTCAAATACTGATTTTATGCGAAGCCACCAAGCAGCCCCAGGTCCTTCGGCGGTGGGCAGGGCTGAATGCACGGTATTTGTCTGTTCACCTTTCATCCCTCTTCATCCACCTCCCGCTCTCCAGTCTCCAGGGAAGTCCTTGCGGCCCTCCCCACGCGCGCACTTTGCCTCATCACACCGGCGACACTGCTGGATTGTCCACCCCACGTCCCCCTCCACTCTCCACCCCTGCATTTCGGCCCGCATCCCCCGCACGCCCTCGGGAAGATGCTCAGGATGCGCAGTCTCGCGTGGGGTCCGGGCCGTGCTAATGCGCAGCAGGGCGGCCGGCCTCGCTGTGGGTGGTCGGCGGCGCCCCGCGGCCCGACGGCCGGAGCAGGATCTGGTTCCGCGCTCGGGTTTCGCCCGGCGCACTCTCGGCCGGCGGCTTCACTTAAGCAATTAGCCGAGGCAGATACCTGGGGCCCCGGGAGTGGGGGCGTCCTACCCGAAACGTGGGCATTCCCGGAGCCAGCGGTAAGTGCAGGGATTTGATCCGAGATGGAGAGGGAGGCTCGTGAATTTTCAGCCGGGAGCAAGTATCTTCTACAGACACTGCCTCCGTGGGGCTGCGCCCCTGGGGACTTGGATACGGTCCTTTCCTTGTGGTCCTGTCTCATTGCTGCCGAAACCCTTAAGAAGTGGGCGCTGCAGCTGGGGCCGTTTTTAAAGGAAGAATGTTGGTACAATACAAAACCGCCTAGGCAGCGAGCATCCAAATTTGTGAGTTCAAATCCTACACTGGAAATACGGGGGGGGGGGGGGGGGGCCCCGTTACCCTGCTCCTGCAGTCAGACTCATCCCAGTTACACAAAATGGCCAAGGGCGCCGTTGGCATGGGCTCTCCAGTCCACCTAAATGGGACCCGTGGTGCGGTTGACACTTTATAGAAGCATCGCTTGGCGGTGGTTTATTGACTTATGAGGCCTCGAGAAGTACTCAGCCAGCAAGGGGAGCGAGTGACAGACCCTACCTCTGAACCTCCATTTCAGCTCTTCAACGGTGGGGAATTCAGGGACATCTCAGAGTCTGAGAGCTAACTTTTCTCTGGACTCACAGGCAAGCGCTGTAACTGTAGTTTAACGCGCACGTGTGTGTGTGTGTGTGTGTGTGTGTGTGTGTCCATCCTCCAAGCTACAGGAAGAGGCGCTCAGGCTTCCTACCCACTTGGGTGCCCACTTTCACCTCCCCCCTCACTGGAAAGTAGGGGTTGGGGTGAGCCTCCCGCTGCTGGGCCCCTTTTCTTCCCTGCCACGCGACTGCTATCCTGGCTCCATGCTCATGGGGGTGGGGGAGGGTGGCTCTAGGATCTAGGCCTGAGGACTGAAGGGCACGTGGAAACGTCCTCACTACAAAACCTGAGGAGCCTCCCAGAGGGGGTTTGTGAGGGACAGTGGTCTGTGGGAGTTCAGAAAGAGAGGGAAACAGATCTGGGGGGGTCACCTATGGGCAGAATCCTCTAACTCAGAAAGGGCTTCACGCACCCTGGTCCTGAGGACAGGGCATGGCAGCTACCACTTTCCTGGATTGGGGGGGGGGTGCTCCGAACTTGGACGCCTTCCGCCTTCCTCAGCGCCCCTTTCGCTGAAGGCCACGGCTGTAGCACCCTTCTGGAAGTTTCTTTCCCTGCTGTACAGCCAGAGTTCTCGGGACTGGAGTTGCCAGTGGGGAGAAAAAAATGGAAAAAGAGAGAGAGAAAGAAAAGAATGGAAAGGAAAGGAAAGGAAAGGAAAGGAAAGGAAAGGAAAGGAAAGGGGAAAGAAAAGGAAGAGAGAAAGAAAATAAAAAGAAAAAAACGGGAGTGTGGAAATGCTGGCCTGGAGGGGTGCGCCCTGGCGGAGGGGCTCCGCTATGGTGATTGTGTGGCTGTGCGTGGGCGAAGGCACGGTCCTGCAGCGTGCAGGCTACATGCGGTGCGTGCTCCCCAGGGTGGGGCCTCTCAACTGTCCAAAAGTCCCCTGAGAGGGCGCAGGCCAGCCTGCGGACGGCGTTGTGGGCTGCTGGCTGGGCCGGCCGTGTGACGCAGAAGCCGGCTTGCCAGGGCTACCAAGTGAAGGCACACAGAACCACACAGCTGTACTCGGTTCCCTCCGCCCTTTCCCCCCTAGTTGGGCCACAGAGTTCCCAAGCCCGTCCTGGAGAGAGTTCCGGACTGGCGACTCTCGCCTCCTGCGAACCCGGCCCTGCCAGGACGCAGCCACCGGCGTTAGCAAGCCCCCAGCCCCTCGCACAGACGTGCCAGGCGCCTCGCAGGCGACAGGGCGCCTTGGAGCGCAGCTGAGGGCGTGGGGGTGGGGAGAAGACGGGGGAGCAGGAATCCAAGGGAGCTTGAGAGCCGGCTCGCTTGGAAGGAGACCCGCACGCACCTCCGCAGCCGCTCGCGCCGAGGCGCAGCCGCCCGGCCCCACGGTGCCTCCCGCCGAGTCGGGAAAACATCCTCCGTCGCCCACCTGGCCGGCAGGGAGCCGCGCGCGCAGCTGGGCGGCGGGAGGCCCGCACTCACCTGGTTCCGGGCGCGCGGAGTCCAGCCGGGTTCGTGAGCCGTCCCGCGCCCCGCACCCCGTTCCCGCGGCCGCCACCCCGCAGCCGCGGCGGCTAGCGGCCGCGCTCCCCGCCCGCGCCACCGGCTTTCCGGAACCCGGCCTGGCGCGCAGCGTCGGAGGCCCCGCGGCGGCGGCAGGCCGAGCCCATAGGGGCAGCAGGCCAACTCCCCCCCGCGCCCGCAGGCTTCCCTACTCTGATTATTAAAGGATCCCCCGGAACGTGTTTACGTTGAGCCTTGTAAACTTCCTGCCCGGGACTTTGCCATCTCTCAGGAAATCAGAACCTGTGCTTGTAAAAGGGGGACTCAGGGCCGCGGGGCCAACTAAACGGAGTTCAGAGTTAAGCGTGGGGGGAGGGGGCTCCGAGGAGACTTTGCTGTGTGAGTTCGGAGCTGAGAGTGGCGTGTGTGTGTGTGTGTGTGTGTGTGTGTGTGTTGTGTGTGCGCGCGCGCATGAGGGAGATCTCAATGGCAACTCCGGTGGGAGCCTGGGGTACGGGAGTGGGACGCGCACTGGGTGCAAGTCTGCCCGTCTGAGCTGGCAATTTGTGGGTCTGGCTTGGGGCAGCGGTGCGAGAGCGCTCGGCCCTCGTGTGCGCGCCTCCCTGGAGGAGTGACGGGTCCCCCCTGCTCCGGGACCTGTGCGTTCCCCGGCACCGCAGGAACTGGAGCCGGCGTCCGGGTCCCGCTTGCAGCGCTGGAGACAAAGCGGCCGCCGAGCGGCCTGCGGTTTCGTTTTCCGCCCGCGCTCGGCCCGGGCAGTGGCTGCCGCGCGGCGGCTGGGCGAGTCCGAGGGCCGCCGGGCGCCGGCGCCGCGCCGCCCGGGGCGGAGAGCGAGGGGAGGCGGGCCCTCCCGGGAACTTACGCCGTCTTGCCCCGGGGGCCCGGGAACCCGGGAACCCAGGCGCTCGCCCTGCCCGCGCTGGTCCCGACCCCGGGCCTCCGCCACCGCCGCAGCCCAGGGTTCCGGCAAGACCGGGGTCCCGGGCGCGCGTCCAGCCCGGCCATCCGGGCCTGCGGGGCGGGGACCGGTGCACCGGGTCCAGGTCGGTAGAGGCGGAGCGGGCTGAGCCGCTGGGGGAGGGGGGGCGGGGGCCAGGGGACGCGCAGGGAGGGACCTGGGGTGGGGGGGTCTCGCGCAGGCTGCTAGCTTGGGGGGGGGGGAAGAATCGGACGGCGCAGGCCGCGGGGGCTCAAAGGCGTGCGGCCGGGGGCGGGGCAGTGCCGGGCCCCCTAACGCGCGTGGCCTCCCGCGGGGGGGAAGAGGAGGAGGAGGAGGAGGGGAGCGCGCCCGGGGAGGGCGGGCGCGCGGGGGAGGCGCGCTCGGGAGCCGCAGTGACGGCAGAGGTGCAGCCGCCCCGCGCAGCCCCCTCCCCTCCCTCCCCTCCTGCTCCTCCTCCTCCTCCCGGCTCGGCGGCGCAGAGCAGCGGCGGCAGCGGCGGCGGCGGCAGCAGCCACCCGATGTCCGCGCCCGACAAGCAGCAGCCGCCGCACGGCGGGGGCCCGGGAGGAGGCGGCGGCGGCGGCGCGGGCGGCCAGGCCATGGACCCCGCGGCGGCGGGCCCCACCAAGGCCAAGAAGACCAACGCCGGCGTGCGGCGGCCGGAGAAGCCGCCCTACTCGTACATCGCGCTCATCGTCATGGCCATCCAGAGCTCGCCCAGCAAGCGCCTGACGCTCAGCGAGATCTACCAGTTCCTGCAGGCGCGCTTCCCCTTCTTCCGCGGCGCCTACCAGGGCTGGAAGAACTCTGTGCGCCACAACCTGTCGCTCAACGAGTGCTTCATCAAGCTGCCCAAGGGCCTCGGGCGGCCCGGCAAGGGCCACTACTGGACCATCGACCCGGCCAGCGAGTTCATGTTCGAGGAGGGCTCGTTCCGCCGGCGACCGCGCGGCTTCCGAAGGAAATGCCAGGCGCTCAAGCCCGTGTACAGCATGGTCAACGGGCTGGGCTTCAACCACCTCCCCGACACCTACGGCTTCCAGGGCTCCGGGGGCCTGTCATGCGCGCCCAACAGCCTGGCGCTGGAGGGCGGCTTGGGCATGATGAATGGCCACTTAGGGGGCAACGTGGACGGCATGGCATTGCCCAGCCACTCGGTGCCCCACCTGCCTTCCAACGGCGGTCACTCGTACATGGGCGGCTGCGGCGGTTCCGCGGCCGGGGAGTACCCACACCACGACGGCTCGGTGCCCGCTTCCCCGCTGCTGCCAGCCGGCGCCGGCGGGGTCATGGAGCCGCATGCTGTTTACTCCAGCACCGCGGCAGCCTGGCCGCCCGCGGCCTCCGCAGCCCTCAACAGCGGGGCCTCCTACATCAAGCAACAGCCCCTGTCCCCTTGCAACCCGGCAGCCAACCCCCTGTCTGGCAGCATCTCCACGCACTCCCTGGACCAGCCATACCTGCACCAAAACAGCCACAACGGGCCAGCAGAACTGCAAGGTGAGTACCCTTGACAGCCGCTGTGAACCAATCTAGGTTCTAGAACATTAGCAACAACTCTGAGGGAGGCAACAGCCCACCAGGCCTTTGGCCATCACTCCTCCCTCTCTAGAGTAGTGCAGTTTTGATACCCCGGGTTTAGGCTGGTTGAGTTTCGGTTCTGGCTGTCCCAAGGCTGGCCAGGTAGGCCCCGTTCTCACCAAAAAGGACTCAGACTTGAGCACTCTTAGGTCCCTGGCCATGTGGGTCTCTTCACATGCAAAGGTCCTCTGTGTCCAGTCAGGGGCCTAGTCCTGGTTAGCAGGCCCACCTTTCTGAAAGTTCTCATGCAAGGAGTCCGTGTCAGGCAAGAACGGAAGAGTTAGGCCCAAAGCAAGAGTTAGGCCCAAAGCGGCCTGGGCCCAGCCCTGAGAAGCTCAGTCCAGGCCCTTCAGGGAACCTGCTTTGTGAGTCCAGGGGGCATTTTGTGTAGACATAAGCTGGCACTATGTGATGACCAGGCCCGGAATCTGAGTCCCAAGTACCAGCGCTCTTTGTCTTTCAGGATCCAGGTTTCAAGGTCCCTCAGTGGCTCACCCCACTGAAGAAAAAGATAGCCCTTCATGGGTAGCCTTCGGTTCTGGAAGGAGAAGTGGGTAAAGTGGGTAAATAAGTTGTCAGGAGGCAGCACAGAGGCTAGAGGTGGTGGGCCCGTGGCCCGCCTCGCCACAGGGTTCCCACCCTGCTTTTGCCAAGTCGAAATCCAGTTTTCACCCACCCTGAGCCCTGCCTGTCCTTCTGGGTTGGACATGACTGGACCTTGCTCCGGGCTCTGAATCTTGCTGACCCCACATTGGGCTTTTCACTCCTGGAAGCGGCAACTGCACAGATCTCAGCCTCCCAGGCCCTGGGCATCCGAAGCCGTAATTACTTTCTCCGCCTTCCCCTTAGGCATCAAAGGAGCCCTCTGGGCCTGGCTGGAGAGGCCCAGGCAGTTGAAAGCAGGACTTCCAGCCAGTGTTCTAGCATAGGTTGTGGGATGCACCCTGAGGAGCGATTCCCCTTCCCCAGTTCTGTTCTGTCCCCACTGAGGGCTGCTCCCCCCCCCCCCCCGCCCCGCCAAGGCCAGAAAGTGCTGGGGCTAATAGCAGTGTGCTGAGCCCTCTGGGTGCCCTGTAAGCTAATGTTTTGCCCCCCGCCCCGTCACCTCCTCCTACAGGCATCCCTCGGTATCACTCACAGTCGCCCAGCATGTGTGACAGAAAGGAGTTTGTCTTCTCTTTCAATGCCATGGCGTCCTCCTCTATGCACTCGGCTGGTGGAGGATCGTACTACCATCAGCAGGTCACCTACCAAGACATCAAGCCCTGTGTGATGTGATGTGTGAGGTGAGGCCACAGGCCCTCCAGCCCGACCTGGCCGGCCCGGGGACCAGGAGCCCACCGCCACAAGCTGCTTTTCTCTGGAGGTATAATGGCAGCAGGAGAGGCGGGCCCACCCTCTCCCCTAACGGATTATTTGTAAAGAAACCCCAACACAGACTTGGCGCTGTGGTCGAGAACACCACCCCGCTCCTTCACTAATTTCTAAAAACAAAACAAAACAAAACGAAAACAAAAAACAGTGGCTGTGGGGCCAGATCGGACCGCAGCTGTCAGTAAGTAGATGCTTATTTTCAACCCCATTGGAAGTCGGCCACGAAGGTGCTGTGTCGGGGGAAGCCAGCTACACGGAAAGAATTCTGCCCAGGTCTGTCCGCCCCTCCCACACCGAGGGACAGGTTTTTAGAAGCACGTGAGCAGTCATTAGCAAATGCTTTTATTTTTGGTTGAGTATTTATCTTCTAATTGTTAACGTTTTGAAAGAATGTCTTGAAATGCACAGGTATCCCCCTCCGCCAGCGGTTTCCTTCCCCCCCCCTGCCCCCTGGGGGAGGAGGAGGAAGGAACCAGGTGTGGCGTCCCCTCTCCCGACCGGGTCTCCTCGAGCCGTCACAGGTGGCTCTTTACGGGAATGACACGGATACCTGGAGCCGCTGTTTGTCTTTTAAAAAAAGAAAACAGTGGCGGAGAAGCTGCCCCAGCCTCCGGCCCCTTCCGTGTTCTTCTCCGGCGCCTTTCACTTTGTTTGGAGAAGCATTTTGACTTCTCCCGTGGGTGTCGTTCTGTGTCCCGGTCTCTACTGTAAGTCTCTGAAAGGAAAAGAAGAACACGGCAGGATGCGGGGATGTGGAGGCTGTAGTTGAGGCGCTCTGCTGCCGTAGACAGGCTCAGCCTGTTATTTATTCTGCTTAATTTCCCTAATCAGAACACCACCACCTCGCTCTGCCCTCTCAGTATTAATGGTGTGACTTCGTTGGCAATATTTGCCGTGTAGAGTTGTTTGTTTTGTTGTTGTTGTTTAGCTATCCATTGTAAATTTGAAACAAAGGCCAATCCGTGTAAAAACAAATTTCCGTATGTTTTATATAAATATATATAGTATGAAGGACTGTCCCCCTTTTTAGCATTTCGGCCGCAGACGCGCGGCATCTGTGACACGCATTTTAAGCCTCCTTCTGCACTGTATAAAAAGGACAATCCGAGGGTATGCTTTTTGTGTATTTTTTTTTCCTACAAAAAGAACAAAAATAAAAAGTAACATTTGTACCCGGCCTCTAAAATGCTTGTTACTAGAAATAAACTCGAGTGGCTGGTTTATTGGGGTGGGATGGGGTTTAGGAGACCAACTCATTGCCACCCCAGGAGCTTCAGCTCTCTGGAAAAGAAAATTATAAATCTAGGGAATCTGCACCCCCCCCCATTAGCCCTCTTTTTCATCCTTTATTTCACACTGCAGTAAAATCTGGGTAGGGATAACTTTTTCCTTGCTTCTGTTTTTTGAAGATGAATCCTCTGTCCCTCGAAATCTCATTTCTTAGTTTAAAGAAATAACCAACCGTTTATAGAAAAACTGTAGTCCTTTATTCCTGGGGTGCGCGCGCGCACACATTATATTTATTTTTTACATATATACTTTACATATATTTCTGTGTAATTTTCCTGCTCCCTGAACTCAGGCCTGAGTTCACTCCAGGCGTGCGTGCGCCTTGACCTGTCTTGCATTCTGTTGTGGATAATGAAGCCGCTTGAGAGCGTTGTCTGTCTTGTTTGTTTTTACTTATTTTGCGCTCTTATTATTTTTTTTTTAATTGCCTGATGCTCCCCCCCCCCCCCCCCCGTGGACTCCTGTAAAACCCAGTCAGGAAAGGATGGTCTGCGGGTTCCCAGGGCTACGCCCACGTTCCCGCCCCTAACATATTTCCCTTTTAAATCGTATTTTTCCCTCTCTTCTGGAGACAACGGCTAAGCTCCGTCTCCCCTGACCAGCGCCTCCATCACCAACCTTCCACCTAGGAAAACAAACAGAATAAGCCGCGTCGTCGGAGCCGCGGTCCTGACCCACCGCAGTGTCTGCGCGCGGTGGGGTCGCGCCTCAGAACCTGCTTCTTCTCAGACTTGACATTCTGGGCGGGAGGGTAATTTCTCTGGTGCTCGGTTACATCAAAATTATCAATAAACTCGTCTGGGCAATTAATGTCCCCAACTAGCAGCTGTCTATAAAACCCAGCTAAAGAGGACAGGGAAAGGCCTGAGCTGGGGCGCCTGCAGCGTCGGGCGGGGGCTGCGGCCTGGGACGGGTTCGAAGCCAGGGGTCGGCTCTGCCCTTGGGGGGCGAGGCCTTCCCTTCGGAGTTGGAAAGCAGGTCCAGGGAAAAGGCCTCAAGCGAGCCCTACGGCCGCGGCCCGACTTCGCCCCAGGGGGGGACGAGAGAAGCCCTGAGGCCGCTCCGGTGCTGCGGCGTCCGCGGCGCGATCGGATCCGCGTCCATCCCGGCGGCGGCGGCGGCGAGACCCGGCTTCCGGCTCATCCCCAGGCCCCTGTGCGGGTTTCGTGGGATTTCCCAGCTCCCCCACATCAGGACCAGCTGGGTGGAAGGGGCCCTGCAGGAGACGGCGGCGCGGAACCGGCCAGGGCCCGGGGGGATGGAGCCTGGCCGCCGCCGCTCGCCTGCCTGCCGGAGGGGGAGAGGGAAAGCTGCCCGCCCTCCCCGGGAAGTCCCAGCCTGGGAGCAGGGGACGCCGGGCAAGCCCAGGGGGGCCGCCCAGCAGCCCGGGGGGCCCCCAAAGCCGCCGTGAGGTGGGTGCTGGAGCTTCTCCGGGGCTCCTTTCGCCTCCACACAGGCCGAGTGGTGGGAAGCGCTCGACGTGGGGCCCAAGAAATCGTCAGGGCACGTGCAAGTCGCAGGCTCAAACTCAGCGCGGGGGAGCACGAAATTGTGTGTAGCTGCAGAAGTCTCAGGCGGCGCTGGCTGAGCTTGAGTTCGTTATCTCTCAGCGCCCCGTCTAGACTCGGAACTGCCCAGACGCCCTGAGTATGTGTAAGGCCTCAGGCAGAAGGCCCGGAGATGGACAGGCCGCAGGTAGGCAAGGGTGGGCGCGCAGCCGCCCTGTGGGCGAGTCCCACGGTCCCCTCCGAGACCTCCTCCTGCCGACCGTGGTGCCCAGCGGGAGCGGGGGCGCCACTCTGGGTTCCACAGACCGCCAGGGTCAGCCCACAGAAATGGACCAACCCTGGGTCTAAGCTGGGTCGAACCGCAGCGCCTAGCTAGGGTCTGGAGAGCAGCAGATGTGACATTGTGGCCTATGGAGACGCATTCTACAAACTGTTGTCCATTCTGGGTTGTCCTTTCACTTTGGGAGTGAAGGGTCGGGCAGGGAAGGCTCCCTGCCTGCCAGGCGCTCGCCAGCGACTGTCTTCCAAGGAGGGAGTGGAAACACTGACCCAGAGTTCTTGCCCTGAGGCCACCTGCTATTGTGCAAACCAATGCAGCTCTCTTTGAATTCCCCTTCTCTGACAATCTTGTTCCAGTGAGATGAGCCTTGACGTGACGCGCTCAGGAGGAAGGGGACACGTTTTCCTGGCACCCAGAGGAGAGTAGTGGCCTTCCGAACTCTGTGTTTCTCACCCCAGGATAAGGGACATGTTTGCAGCAACCCTCCCTTCTCCAGAGACCTCCTCTTGGGGCCTTCCTGTAGCGTCCAGGCTGGGGATAGCTAAACAGCAGGTTTGGGCCTGAGCCCACCACACACAAAATACTCTACTCGTGGGTCCCAGGTGGGGAGAAGTGAGGATCACTTCACTTCTGCTCAACACATGGGGAGGGGCTTGAGAGCTCCCACTTCTTGGCAGGGGTCCTGGTAAGGGCTAAAGTGTGAACTGAGCCTCATAGTCCTCTCAACCACAGGCTACTCCGCTGAGGTAGCTTGGTCTGGCCTCTGCTGCCCTCTCCTGCTGGCCCTGGCTCCAGCGGCAGCCTGGGAGAACTGGGGGCGGGGCAACTGGTGGCATGGGAGACACTTGCATAGGCAGCTCTCTGTGGGCGGGGGCCACATTCCATCCTCACAGCATCCCTCAGGTGGCTCTCTCCACCCCACCCCACCCAGGTTTGGAAACCAAACTCAGAGAGGACCCACAGATGCAGGTGTCGAGTAAGAGGATGTGGGGTTGGGGCTCAGACTGCCTGTTTTCCTGGATAGCCCATTCTCAGTGGAGAGGCCGATGTTGAGGAGGGATTCCTGACCCAGTCCAGCCTTCCCACCAAGCCACCATGAGAGCTCCAAGCTCCCGGGCTCCGAGTCAGACTAGGGACTCCAGCTTCCCTCCCAGAGTCACAGAAACTGCCATTTCCAACCCCCCCATGCCTCCTCCCCTTTCTTCCCTCAACCCCTTGGTACAGTGGAAATCAATGTCAAGCAAAAGCTGGAGCAGAGAAGCTGCGGGCGGCAGTACGGTGTGGCTGCCTGATTCTGTTTCTCAGAGCTGGGTTCTGGGTGAGGGGAGGAGGGGCTTTCTTTCCCGCAAGCCCAGGTGGGGCCGCTGCCAGTCGCTGGACTCCGGGCTATTGCAGAGATGAACGGATGGATCGTGGGCCTTTAACCATGAGCTTTTTTCCCTGTCTGCATTTACACACACACACACCCTAATCCTTCTCTCTTTCCCCCTCTTCTCTACTCTTTCTGTGCAAAGTGCTGTAGCCAGGGTCTCACTCTTAGGACGGCATCTACCATAGATCTCTGCTCCCATTCTTAGATTTTCTGGTGTGCTCTCACAGCCCAAAGAGGAACAGGATCCAAGTGAAACAGGATGGGTGAAGAGTGGCCACAGCTGTTCAGTCCACCAACACTGAATGCCTACCAGGGCCACACTGAGCAACCACAGGTGCCTGCCATGGCACTCACCACCACCACGGTGGCCAGGCCGGCACAGCCCAGCTACTGTCAGCTGATGGACTCCTGTCCACAGAAGAGGCTCACCTTGAGGAGAACCTAGTGGGGAGGTGGGATTATCAAGGAGGGGCTGCAGGCGTGCTCTGCTCAGAGCAAGTGCTAGGGCCTGAAGCTGTGGATCCCCTGAAGGGATGTCACTGGTCCTGGGCCCCCCAAGAGACAATGGGGCGGGGCAGCCTGAACAGAGCTAAATGCTACCCCTAGTGAACCCAACTATAGTGCCTGGCCAGGCCACACAGCACCGCTAGGATCCACCTCTAGCATAGTTCTGGTGTTCAGTGCCCTCGTGGTGACACAGGAGTGGCTCGGAGTGGGGGGTGGGGGAAAAGGGACCGTGTGCTAAGCCTCTCTGAGCATCTTGTTAAAACTAGTGACATCATGCCAGGGAGGTAGGGCCCTGAGTTCCCTGACTGTCAGGGTCATGGCCACTTGGAAGAATGCCAGGTCCTTAGATGTCCCTGTAAAAGGACAACTTGTCTGTCTTTGGGAATGTGTCCTGAAAGCAGGTTCTAGATGGGCACAGGATGGCTCTGGGTTTCTGTGAGACAGTGGCCTGACAGGCCCCGGCTCCCACTGGAACCCCAGCATCAGCTCTGGTTGCTTGGGTCACAAAGCTAGGCTTGTGGGAAGGAAGGCAGCGAGTGGGACACAGTGGTAAGGTAACCCCCGGGAGGGCAGAGCAGCAGCTGGGCGAGGGGCAGTGGGCACAGTAGGCTGCACTTTGTGGTGTCACTCCAGGGAGAGAGCTCAAGGTTGGGGACCTCTTGAAAAGAGGGAACCTGGGACCCAACAGGAGAAGCACAGAACCTACCCTCGGATTTTCGCCTCGGGCTATTTCTCCTGAGGAGACAGCGCCACCTGCTGTCCATTTCTCACAGTTCCTGTAAGAAGGACGGAAAATGGGTTTTGTGAACCCGCAGGCATTTGTGCCCAGATGCGTGGACCCTATTTCAGACTCCATGACCTCAGTTTACGGGAGGTGGACTGTTTTTGTTGGAAGTTGAACTAATCTTTCTAGTTACAGAAACAATAGGGCTTTAGGAAAATGAACTTCAGAAAAGTGGACCGTTAAGTGACTTCCTGTCCCATCAGGCAGCTTTGCTGGGCCCAAAACACATACCCTGCACATAGGGACCCCATGCCTTCCCCCCTCCCCAGGAGCTGATAATGGACACTGGGGATCCCAGCCCCTGGGTGGAGTTCCGGACCTCATTCTGCTCTTTCTAACTTTGTTTTCTTCCCTCCTGTGATGCCAAGTATTGTGTGTGTCTCCAAAGAGTTAACTGATGAACTGAGGCACAGAGAAGGCGAGCCCCTGCCTGAAATCACACAGCCAGAACACACTGCCAACCCCGCCCCACCCTCCGGGCAGTGTGTGGCTCTGACTGAGGATTCTTCAACCGCTAAATGTTCTCTGTGTTCTGACAAGCTGCTGTGGCTTCCGGTTGGCCCAGAGGCTCTGCTTGCGGCAGGTTGGCGTTCCCCTGGGGACGGCCTTTTTCCATTGAGCAGGGCCAGGCTCCAGTGCTCCAGCCTCTGGCCTGAGACCCTTCTCTGGAAAGCTGCTCCTGATGGTGGGTTTGTTGGGCCTGCAGGTGGGAGTGATGTCAGACTTACCCACAGCTCAGCACCTCAAGGCCGGTGCTTAGGGCTTCTAACCACCCAAGTATGGAGCACCCACGCCACACAGACACACATCAGCTCCCCTTTCAGCCTTGGAGATTTATGGTCCTGGGAAATAAAGGGCCCCATTCACAGCACGCAGCAAGGAGCCAGGACCACAGCTCCTTACTTGAATCTGCTTGTCTGAACGTCTCCTTGGCTGTCCCCAGGAAAAACCTTGGGCGACCCAGACCCTCTAGAGGGCTCCGAAGCACAGGAGGGATCTGCAAGAGCTCCAGAGTCCTTGGGACTGCATTGTGGCCACAGGAGCACTAGAGGGGCAGGGTCCACAGCCTAGAGGTGAGAGGGTTGAACTGGCAATGCAGGACGTGCCCAGCACAGTGGCTGACCCCGACACCCAGGCCACACACCCAAGCCCCTGTTTCTTCTGTTGCAGGAAGACCTGTGTCAGCTCACAGGGGAGGGCTGATTTTCTCTCCCGCCAAGTGGCCCTGGCTTGACCCTGCTTACTGAGGGTAAAGAGCGACTTGGCTCAGCTCCTGGGACCTCGGCTGCCTGAGGGACCTGCATCTGCAGTGGTGATGAGGTGAGGATAAGTCTTCTGTCTACCCTATGAATTGCCGCTCTTCAGAGGAAATAGTGATCTATAATCCGTGACTTATGGGTGCCTGTCATCGTCTGTGACAGTGCGTGAAACTACACAATTGATGACTTAGGAAGCAAATACTTGCCCCAAGTTTAGTGGCTGCAAAGTGTAAGTCATGAGGTGCCTCAGTGGAGCCAACTCTTCATGGCTCCTCCCCCAGCTCAGGATACCTTCTGAAATGGCACACCGTCTCTGCAAGTGTTGGGTGGCTGATCGGCTCCAGGGGCAGCTCAGCATTGTCACTGATGGGGCTGATCTCCGGATGACAAGCCAAACATGGTGTGACTTCAGTCAGATTTGGGGAATGGCTTCTGGTGGGGAGGGCTGGACGTTGCACCAAACTCCAAGCTCCCTGAGCACTTCCGGATCTTGGGAGAATGAAGAGAGTGCCTTTCCCCCAACCCAGGGAAAGGGAGTTCAGAGTGTAAGCAAGGTCAAAGGGGCAGTACCGACTAAGGAGGGCTGAGGACCTCAGGTTGGTTGTCACCCACACTTCAGTCCTTATATGTGGAAGTCTACTTTGCAGATCTACTTTGCAGAAAGGCTTTGGTGCTTTAAAATTTGAAGTGACTTGTGGTAGGAGGAGGTAGTCTCTATGAGATCGAGGCCAGCCTGGTCTACTAATGAGTTCCAGGACAGCCAGGGCCACACAGAGAAATCTTGTGTCTCAAAAAACAAAACAAAATCAAAAAATAAATACATAATACAACTGCTGTCCTCTTTGTCTTAGGGCATGTGTTCTATCTGGGGTGCTAGTCACGGGGCCCACGTAAAGGTGCATGAACACAGCTGCGTCCTTGATTGGTGGCTGGAGCTGTGAGAACAGCGGGTGTCTGGGACCCAGGGAAGGTGGCATCAGGCTCAGGGGTCTGCGATTTGGGAAGGGGGGAGTGGCCCAGGACTAAAAGGCAAGCCTGTGTTTTGGCCCCTTCTACAAAGACAGAAAACTGCATCTCAGGCCACAGAAGACCATTAGGCCTATGCCCTTAAATGTGTATTTCCACAGGTTTGGCCATTCTAAGTGTTATGGGTGCCTGGTGGACAGACATGCCTCCCCTAATGTGACAGCTAATTTTACATCAACTTGACACAAACTGGAGTTGTTTTGGAAGCTGCTATTTTACATCAACTTGCTACAAGCTTGAGTTATTTTGGAAGCAGAACCTCAATTGAGGAAATGTCCCCACTAGATTAGCTTGTGGGCAGCTTCTGCTGTACTTTCTTGATTGATGGCTGACAGGGGAGCAGCTCACTGTGGGTGGTTCCACCCCTAGGTTGGAAGTCCTGGTTGCTACAATAATACAGGCTTAGGGAGTCATGAAGAGCAGCCCCCCACGGTCTCTGTACCGTGACTTGCACTCCTGCCCTGCCTTTCTCCAATGACAGACTGTGATAAGGAAGTATAAAACAAATTAAAGCCTTTCTTCCTCAAGTTGCTCTTGGCCGTGGTGTTTTATTACAGCAGCAGAAGCCCCAAGCTATGTAAAGTGACCCCTAAGGCTCAGCAGCCTCTGTCATTTTTTTTTTAAAGTTATTTTCTTTCTTTTTTTTTTTTTTTTTTTTTGCCTCTGTCGTTTTTCCTTCAACCTGTCTCTCCTCACAATGACCACTGCTGCTCTGGCCTCTCTCTCTCCCGGGGGGCATCCTGGCTCCTATAGGAAGTGTGACTTCACCATGACTGGCTGCAGGGCAGGAGGAGATGACAGCAGCATCACCTGGAACTGGGAACCTTGCACTCAAACCTCATCTCCAAACCAGGGCCTAGAATCACACCTGGAAGCCAGTGTGAGGAAGGCCACTGCCTGCGGCTCCTCTGCCAGCCCGCTTCATTCTGCTTACACGTTTGTGTGTGCGAGAGCGCGCATGTGGAGGAGACCAGAGGTCAACCTCGGCTGCCCTCCCCTCTTGCAAAGGGCAACTCCTGAGCATTTCCTTGCAAGGTTTCCTGAGAAGCTTCTACTAGGATCCCGCTGGCCGTGCTGGAACTGACAAGTCTCTCTGCAGATCTGGAGCAGCTTTCCGTTATCTTACAGGAGCCTGAGCTGCTCATCAGCTACCGGTCCAACTACTTGTGATTTTTACTGTTGTGTGTGCATGCACAACTGTACTGCCATGCGTGCAGCACCCATGGAGGTCAGATCCCTGCAGCTATGAGCTTTGTGGTGGGAACTCAACTCAGGTCTCCTGGAGGGGCAGTAAGGGCTCTTCAGGGCTGAGCCATCTCTCTAGCCCCTGCTGCTAGACTCTAAAGCCTAATTGATGCTGGGAGCCACTGGTTTGTATCTTCCTGAATTAACTAGCTTCTCATCACTGTGAAGATGCCCAGCTTCAGGCATCAGGCTGTCACGCAGGAAGCTGAAGCTCTGCTCTCACTGGGCTAGCCAGGACATAGGGCAAGCATACACAGGAAGAGGCCGGTGTTGGGCTAGTTTTATGTCAACTTGACACAGGTTAGTCATCTGAGGGGAGGGAACCTTCACTGAGAAAATGCCTTCAGTAAGACTGGGCTATAGGCAAACCTGTAGAACATTTCCTTAGCGATTAATGCGGGTGGGCCCAGACCATCTTAGGCGTGGTCATCCCCAGGCTGGTCCTGGGATCTGTAAGAAATCAGGCCGAGCGAGCCAGTAAGCAGTAAGTACCCTTCCAAGGCCTCTGCATCAGCTCCTGCCTCCAGGATCCTGCCCAGAGTTCCTGTCCTCACTGCTCTTGATGAAGTTAGATGGAAATGTGGGTGAAATAAACTCTTTCCTCCCCAAGCTGCTTATATCATTGCCGCTGCCTCCCCCAAGGGCTGGGATCACAGGCATGCGCCACTGCTCCTGGATTGGTGTTTCATGACAGCAACAGTAGCTGTAAGACAGCCAGGGTGGGACCCAGCCCTGGGGATCCATTTCTTCCAAAGAGCCACCCTCCTGCCCAAGTCCCTGCCACTGGTGAAGCCAGATACCATGTGGGTGGAAAACATGGAGGGGCCCCAATTCCTGCAGCAACAGACTTCACCACAGCATCACCTGACAAAAGCTTTCTGCCCATTTTTTCCTATGCGTGCCATACAATCACAGTGGCAAAGAATGCAAAGACTGTCATCTGTGGCTCCCTGGTCACCTGGAGAACCAGCCCTCAAAGGTATTCCGAGCGAGGGTACACCCTGCAGCGCTGACCCAGGCTTAGACTGCGGGCACGCGGGCATCAGTGTTAGGTCACTTCAAACAAACACTCAAGTGGCTCAGGTTGCACGTCAACATTTGGATTACTCTGGCCACAGTGACAGGAGGCTCATGCCATCTGGGTGACATGAGTGCTCACTTGACTGGAGTCAGGCTTGGCTGACTTCTGGGTGAGGGTCACCTCCCCATTTCCCAGCTCTGACAGACAGCTCACATAACATGGATTTCCTAAGTCGCTCATGGCCTGCTGGTCTGCAGCAGGAGGGAACAGACTGCTCCCTGCTGCTAACCTTAAGTCGCTGTTCCCCTGGGAACACCACTGTCAGAACAGACACAAAGGGCAGGAGAGGCCCTGAATTCAGGCAGAGCCCTGACAAAAGCAGGGAAGGGTGAGGATGGGGTGGCCCGTGGCTGTACTGGGGAGGAGTGGGAGGGTCAGCCAGGCCAGAGACCAGGGCAGCTCAAGGCCTGCTTTCTACGTCCAATACCTGTGATAACTTGGAAGAGGTAGTTATGGAACTAGCAGTTTTCTAAGGCTGGGTTACTGTAAAAAGACGTGTCACAAATTTTTTTTCTTTAATATCTGAGCAAGGCCTGCCCTTCTGGAGCAAAGGACAATGCTAACAGACAGTGGGGAAGATCCACTGGTAAAAATAAGAAACTTCTCAGGCATGCGTATTTGCACAGAATAAACTCTCCACCTAAATGCTTATTTTGACTTTCCCCTAGGATGAATGGAGGAGTGCTTCTGGGAAAAGCAGCGACAGCCCCACCCTCCTCTCATCCTCACCTGAAGGATGGCGAGGCCCTAAGCCTGTTGAGTTATAACCGTGCAGCCTGGGTAGACATGATCACGCACTTGCACAACACAGGGTTCCAGGAACAGAACTCAAGTCTGTGTTCTCTGCCCGAGGAATCCCCTCCCCACTCCAGTTCTGCTGGGCTGGGGGTCTCCAACGGTCACAAGGCTCTGCCACCCTCTCTTGATCCCCTGAGCCTGCCAGGGCCTCTTCTCCGCAGGCCTCTGTTCACTGTTTCCCGCATCCTCAAATCGGGTCTCTGTTCTCTACCCCTTGTCCCTGCTGCTCTGTCCCTAAACCTTCTGCACCCACAGAGCACCACATGGACTTCACGAGAACCAGAACTGGAATGGGTCAGAGCTTGCAGCATCCTGAGTGTCGTGAATGTTGCTTGCTACCATCCCTGCTCACTAAAAGTGCAGCCTCTTCCTAAGAAGAACAGAGCCGAGGCCTCACACAGCAGCAGGTCATCAATGGCAAACTGTCACATGCCAGAGACGTCTAAACAACAGAATGGACATGACGGTTCTACTAGGGGCTACTAACCAGGTCATGTATTCCTCTGTTGTGCCACCGTCAAGACATTGGCACCCAGATGTAGGCCCTGCAGGAGAGTGACAGCCTGCTGGGCAGCAGCCGAGTCTGCGTAGTGTAGAATGGCCCTATGCTGTGGCCCCTGCCAGGTAAGCCTCAGGGGCGCTGCCCCCAGCTCCTGGAGGGCTCTCTTCAGCTCACGCACACGAGCATTGTAGGGCAGGTTTCCCACGTACACAGTGGCGGCTAGTTGTGGGTCTAACCCCTGCAGGGAGCGAGGGGACCCTCCCTGGGAACCTGCTTGTGGCTGTGGTAGATCCTGGGGCCTCTTGACAGAGCTTGGAGCTGGGCGCCGGCTGCCAGGCTCAGCTTGAAGAGTGACATCCTTCCCAGCCCGCCTCTCTCGCTCACGGAGGCTCCTGAGCACTGGGATTTTCGTAAGCAGCTCACAGCTGACCTAAAAGAGAAAGCAGCTTCAGTTGGCTTGGGGTGTCCCGGAGGTAGTCTCAGCCAGGAAGTCTGGCAGTGCGGCACAGCACATGCACAGACGGATGCGCAAGGGTCCAGATCAGTGTCTGGGAGGTTAGAATCCACTGCATGCTCAACTTTATTCTGTGATGCTGCGGTGAGGCACAGCGCCTCAACAGGCTAGGTAGGCATTCTACCACTGGGCTACAGCCCAGCCATTTCTTTTTATTTTGAGACAAGGCCTCACCGTATTGTCCAGGCTTGTCTGGATATCAAACTTACTATCCTCCTGCCTCGGCACCCAGAGTGCCAGGACAATAAGCCTGCAACACCTGGCCTGGATTCCACTGCTTAACAGAAAGCCACCAACCTGCGGCTCTGACCCCGTGCCAGCCTGAATGCAATCCCGACACTATGAAGTTGTCCAGATTGGCCCTCCATGTGCCACAGTGAGGGTGGAACAGCCTCTATGTTCCTGGAGGCCCAGGAAGCAGAAACAGCTGGGACTCCAGAAGAGGCTTCTGCAGTCACTGGTATTAACACGGGCCACAGAGGACAATTCCCTGCCTACCTCCAGGAGAGTGCGGGCTCCTACTGTGCCTGTGACAGTCGTTTACATGCCCAGGAACACCTCTGGGGTCACACTGAGGCTGGCCCTACACACACAGCCAGGCTGGTCTGACACTGAGTCTGACTCAGGTAGCACCCTCTAGCAGAGGGTCACCAAGCTGCTAAAGGAACAGCTCATTGAGCTCGGTGCCAGCCTTTGGGGAGCTGCACAGGCCACCTGCAGAGAGAGTGGATGCCAGATCACCATGGGGAACCGTGTGCCTCTGAGGATGAGCCAGGTGCCTGATCCCTGTGTGCAAACACAGCTGGCAACCTGAGGACCACGAGGACCACGAGGACCATGGCACTATAAGCAGCCAGCTTTCGGGTGTACTGAGCTGGCAGGCTCAGCCAGAACAACTGTGCCTGCACCAGGCCAGGACCTGCTTCTGACACTTCTCAGCCATCAGAGACAACTTTCCCCTTTCTTTGGGGGCCACAGAGGTGGCAGACAAGCAGCACTGAGAAAACAACCATGGCTCCATGGCAGAGTTTCTACAGTACACACACCAGGTCAGCACTCAAGTTGAGGTTGCTTTCCTACGAAGCCGAGTGGCTCAGGAGCCGCCATGATGTCATCTCCTGATGCTCAGGCTACTGTGCAGCCAGGTGTTACTTCTCTCTAGAGCAGCGTGTTTTGAGTAGAGAGTGATGACACCCCGCAGGGCTTGGCCCACTTCTTCACAATTCCTAACCCCACTGGCTCTGGCATTTCCCATCTGCTCATGTGAGCGCTTGCGGAACGAGGTTCATGTGGCTGCCAAGGCTGACAGGGAGCCTGTTTTTCCTAGCTGGCAATTAGAAATGGTCATTACATTCTGTCAACATGCCACACGAAATAAAAACTCTACTTGCTAATCAAACAAACAAAAATAACATTTTTCAAGCTCTGTAACTAATCCTATCCTCCAAAAATTATAATGTAGATTTCATTTTCACATGTCAATCACCTACAAGTTTATAATCCTTTATGAGGGCTGGCAGTGTAGGCTTGTAATCCTGGCTACTTGAGGAGCCTAGGCAGGGAACAATGCCTCCAACATAAATAAACAAAATAAACAAAGGAGCCGGAGGCAGCTCAGTGGCAGAGTGCGTGCCCAGCATCACAGGGCTGTGACTCCAACCCACACAACTGCACAGCCGACAAACTGAAAGCCCTCCGGCTCTGGTGGCCCCGATCCCAAGGAACGACACCCAAGGCTGACCTCTGGCTTGCACACCTGCACAAACATGCATACACACACTGGAAAACACCGATTAAGGAGCCACAGAGCAATGACCCTTCCATCATTGGGCTCAAGGGAGACTCTAGGCCTCAGCTTGAAGATGTGACTCCACCATTCCCATTTCCACAAAATGCTGATGTCCAGCCACAAAGGACAGTGGACAGGGGTAGGAACACTACGAGGACCACTGCAGTAGGCTGAGTCAGCCATGGTGATGACCCACCTTGGCCCACATGATCCCTGTTGGCTTTGGGCGCGTACAGCCTGTAGCAAGGACCCTGGTGGGGGTGATGATGTAGTCAACAGTGAGGTCATGGTCCTCCAGAAGAGACTCAGGGATGTCAACGACCTGGACAGGGTGAGGAGCTGACAGTCAGGTTGAAGTGGGGCCCAGCGGGAACTGAGCAAGTAGACAGATGCTCTTCAGCAGGGCAGCAATCAGCACTTCTCACAGCAGGTGGCTCCTAGAGCAGCTGGCAGGGGCACCAATGACACACCTGCAGCACGTACCTGGCAGTCATGGACAATAGTGACCACTGGTGTCCCCTTGTGTACAGCTCCCATTGACACCATCATGGCGTATTCGAGATCAGCATAGCCTTCTCCCTTCCCAATCCGCCAGCCTAAGAGAAAAGGCAGGGGCACAGCAGAAGTGGGGACCTGTCAGGCCTCTGTGGAAAGGAAGGATCCCAGTGTTCCTGCTGTCCGTAGCAACCCACAGCGGCCCTGGAATATGAGCCCACAGAGCCAAACACTGAGAGTGCACAGTGAGGGAACGACCAAGCTCGCACAGTGAAGAGCAATGACAGGGCCACGTTCCGTGCTCTGAAATCAAAACCCCGAAGTCCCAGAAGGTCAGTGTGTGAAGACAGAGAAGGGAGCTCTGACTCAAAGGGCAGGTGCTCTATCTGCCTGAAAAGCAAGGTGCAGCGGGGACACTGGGCGCAGTGGGGCTTCGCGGCCACAGGCCCATGCAGGCGGAAGCACAAAGGACAATGGTCAGCAAGCAGTGATGGCTTTTGGCTCCCAGCCTGCACCTGAGCTCTCCTCGCCTGGAGTCTGGGTGCCGCCACAGCCCAGCCCAGGAGGAAGCAAGCCACCAAGGTGCCTCCCTCAGCCTCACATCTGCCTGAGCTCCTGACAGGCAGAAATGTGCATGCGAAGGAATGAGCCAAAGACAATGGGCAGCCGGGCACCAACAGCGACAGCATGCGCAGGCCACACAGCCAGGGGAGAGCCGAGGGAAAGGCAGTGAAAAGGCAGGCAGGAGGCCTGCACTAGTGCATCCAGCCTTCCTAACGCTGCGACCCTTTAATACACAACCTCATGCTGTGGTCACCCCCAACCATACAATTGTTTTCCTTGCTACTTCGTAACTGTAATCTTGCTACTGTAAATATCTGATATGCAGGGTATCTGGTATGTGATCCTTGTGAAAGGGTCTTTCATCCCTACAGGAGTTATGACCCACACAGAGGCACACATGCATGTCCTGTGGGGATCGGGAAGGAGGTGGACATGGGCGGGAACCTGAGGGAGGAAGACTTTGAGTCTGAGGCCAGCAACACTGTCTTTAAAAACCAAAACTAAAGGCAGGGAGAGATCATGGCTTGCTGTCAGCCTGCTGAAAGTTCATGCTGGGTAATTCCAACCATGGGCCGGCTCCGTGCATGCTATGAGGGTGTTCAGGCTGCCTTAGTTGAGCTATGAGACCCAGTCACTATTTTATGGCACTTAGCACGAGATGTGAACTGACTAAACAGGACACGGCCTGTGGAGGAGACTGGCACAGTGGCTAAAGTCAGGCTCTCAGTGGAGACTGGCAAGGGGAGGATGCCCAGGGCAGCTCTCGGGAGCGTCTGGACAGCCTGTCTTTAGCTTACCTTTCTCAGACACAGCCACAGATCCCACTACAACTAAATCCACAAGGACGCTGGCATCCAAGCCCACAGGGACGCTGAAGTTCCGGACGCCCTGGGAAGGGAGATGGAGGCTGAGCTCACGGCCTCAGACAGGGCAGAGCGCATGTGGCTCCCACACCCCTCTACCGGAGGCAGTGCCCCGGACAGCAAGTCCCAGGGACAATCTGGAGGTGAGTCTCCTACAGTTCCTATCCCAGGAACAGGACCAGAGGGAACTGAACACAGACTCAGAGAGCAGTAAGGCCCAGAGAGCACCAGAGGCAGAGCGGGTGGAGCCACACACAGGCAGGGCAGACCCAGGTCAGCCACAGGAGCTTCGGGCTCCTCCCAGCGTGGGGATACCAGGACGAATGCTAGAACTGAGGCTGCAGGAGGCTGTGCCCTGTAAGCCGGACACGAAGGGTCAGTACCCTTCGTGCGGGCACTCGTGCGTCTGGAAATGTGCCTCCAGTACGCCCACTTGTCCTGACTGTAGAGGCCTGCACGGGAAGTGTGAAAGGACTGCATCTGTGTGGCCGGCTGGAGACCTGGTAAGGTCAGGGTGGGTCTGCCTGGAGCACAGCACAGGGTCTGCTGGAGCCCAGTGCTGTCCCTCTCAGTGGCCTTGGAACCGGGCTCCTCCCTGCCTGAGCTGGGCTCGGGACAGACCACCTCCCTGTCTCTGAGTACTCTGTGGCCTGCGATGGACCAGAACTGTGATTTATCTCACTTCTTGTCCTTTTTAAATTCTTTTTTCAATCTTTTTCCACTTTCTTTAGTGCTGGGATGGAATCTGGGGCCTCACACGTGCTGTGGAAGGGCTCTAGTGAGCTGCACTCCATCGTCTCAGAACAAAGGTTCTGAGGTGCAGTCTTGCTGTAAGGCCACAGCAGGTTTGGACTGGCGATCTTCCCACACCAGCTTGCCCAGTAGCTGATTTCAGGAGTGCACCACCAAATCTAACCCTGCCTACTGGCTCCGCTGCGCGTGCATATTTTACCTTTATGACAGACTGTACACATTTCTGTACGCTCTAGCCAACTCTTTTTTTAATAAGAAAAGTCATGAGAAAATAATAAATAATTCAACTTTTACATAATAGACTTAAAGGAAAATCCCTTTAGGAGTAAATGAAATGACATGGGGTTTGTGGTTCTTTAAAAAGCTGCCAAATGTTATTTAATGTAAGACTCGAACCATGGTTCTCTAACACCTGAGTGTGTTTACAGACCAGCTTAGTTGGACTCTGAAGTGTCTGATGACAAGCAATCATGCTCTGTCAGCAGGACAACAACTGACAAGAGCTTCCCAGCCGGCTCTGCAAAGAGGGCCCAATCCTGCTTCAGCAAGCATAGGTGCAAAGCATAAAACCTACCACAAGAGGGCGCCAGAGGACCCGGTGCTGGGTCTAAGCCACCTCTTGAGTGAGCATTTTTAACCTTGCCAAACCATTCAGGTGATTTACTGGGAGGACAGAGTGGCTGAATTCGCTAAGGCTGCTCTCATGGCTCTGTGTAACTTCCATGATGTTCTGTCTTACAGTATGGGGACTCAGGAGGACCCCCCCTCCCAGGACAGGGCTCCCAGCACTCACCTGGGAGGTGGCACATTTCCTCAGTATGTCTTTGGTGGCTCCAGGGGGTGGCGTGATCTTGTTGAACAGTCCCGTCCTCAGTCTCGGTGTTGGGACCAGCAGTGTCTTTCTGCTCTTTGGGGGAGAAGGCAGTCATTCAACCACACAGTGGGCGCATGTTCTCCCCACTGCGGAGGAAAGGGAATTTCCTCTAAGGAACCTGAGCATACCCCGCTGCTTCCTCTCGCATGCCTTCCCTGAGGGCCACTGGGGGACTGAAGGCCACAGGATGGGAGAGTCCACCCCCTGTGCACCCCCCATCAGCAACAGTTCCCCACTGCTGTGTGGGGTGTCACTCTAATTCAAACATGGTTCACTGCCTGGGGAGTGAGGCTGACACAGCTGGTCTTCCAGAAAACCTCCTGGGGCCTCCGGGGCCAAGCACTGCTCAGCTTAGAGACAGAGTATTGCCCCAAATCACTGCTCTCCCTGTGAGGACGAAGGCCGTAGGCTCTTCCTCACTGGACCAAGTGGAAGGCCATGTCCCATCCGGCTGAGGCTTATCTGTACTGTGACAGCAGACAGGGACAAGCCAGTTACCACACAGCCGCTGGCAGTCCCAGGCTGGTTCCCAAAGCCCCCTGTGCTAGCAGCAGCACCGGCAGATGAGGCTCGGCAGAGCTACGGCAGTCACCACTTTACGTTAACCACGTCATTTGACAATACCTTTACGGCTCTGCCTTTATTCAGTTTGTCCACTTTGGGTATTAGAATTGCTTAAGACTATGAGCATTAAAATGCACACCAGGTTCCCTTCTCACGCTGACTGTACCCGAGAGGTCAATGCTGGGGGTACAGCCCAGACTCTGCTGTATTTGGGAAACAAAGTATCAGATTTCTAACTGGGGTCTTTTTTTGTTTCAAGGAGTTGGAACGTTGGCAATGCAGTGAAGAAATGGCCTGCTGTGAGTAGCAGCCATAGCACAGTCCACCCAGGTTCACCGCATGCGCTCGGCGGCTGCCTGGAAGTTGAGCCTTCAGGAATGAGGGCAGCTTGGGAAAGTGGAGTTACCTGCAGCGCCAGGAACCGGACACCTTCCAGGGGCTTATCAGGATCCACTTTTATTTCCTGTGTCCCAGCAAAGACATCCAGGTCTCTGATGCTCTGGCAAGCCAGGTAAGAGCCCTAGTTAGGCAAAGACAGTGCTGCACTCACCTCCAGCACGAGAAAGCGGGCATTTCTCTGAGGAGCATCAGGATTGACTTTAATGGTTCTGGCCACACTGAAAGCGTGCAGCTGAGGGAAACGCTCCGCAGCACGAGAAGCGCCCTGTGTAAACGTGACCACATGTCACTGCGAAGACTCGGGCCAAGCAAGGCCGAGGCTTCACAGCCCAGCATAGACCCAGATAGAGGAGCCCAGATTCTCCCAACGAGACAGAAAGAGCACAGGGTGGAAAGGGGCTAACCCAGAACTCAGTTTTTACTGAAAGGAAACTCTAAAAAGAGTACAAGTCCCAAGTACAGAGTCTGAGGGATTTTCACAAGAGAAAGGAGCCCTGTAGGCATCGCCCAGGCAAGGAGGAGGCCTAGGGGCCTCCTTTGTGTGCTTGACTCACTCCAGAGACCATGAGCTGACCCGATGCTTCCCACGCCCCTTTCCCTGAACTCCATGTCCACCTGTCTCCACAAAGCAGAGGAACAACTAAAACTACAGGGAAGGATGGTCTCCAGGGGCCCTGTGGTGCTGCCGGGTTCTAGGCCCATCAGGGCCTTGATATGTCTTCACGAAGCACTTCAGATTTTTTCAAAAACACAAAGCAAAGACCACAAACCATGTTATGCTGCTGCCACACCCCATCTCTGTCTCTCTCGAGAAGACAGGGCCTCATGTAACCCAGCCAGGCCTCCAATTCACAACGTAGCTGTGGAAGACTTTAAACTTGCCACCCTCCTGCCTCCGTAGTCCCAGTGCCGAGGCAGCCAGCACCTGGCTTACACTGAGTCTTTCAGGCAAACTATTTTCCATGTGAACTATCAGTAATAGTCGTCTTGGGTTGACTTATCTTTTGAACAGTTAGGAAACTGAAGCCCAGAGCTGGTTGGGTCACAGTGCTGGGCTTCCCTCTGGGGCCTCCACAAGCCCTTCCATAAGTGGCTGAGGCAGGCCAGCTCTGTAAGCACTGGCAGCAGCCACAGTACCCTTCCACTCCCACAGAGAGACCATGGCCCAGTGGGTAACGGAGCAGGATGGATCAAAACACAAAGAGCCCTTCAGGCCCTCCTGACTCCGCTTTCTGCTCACTGTGGCCCCCAGAATCAGTCCCACCAGAAAGCAGTGGGGCTGTGTCACTGATTTCACTCCCCCCAGGAAGAGCCTGATCCCTTTCTAACAGCCCCAAGAACACTTCTGTACCTTAAAGTTGGGAATCCTGTGATGAACGGGTCGGGGAAAGTCAGCTAAGTCATGGGATTCCATATAGTCCCAAATTCGTTCTCGGATGCTTTGCTTGGAGACACCTGTGACAACCAGGGACCATGACTTGCTGATAAAAAGCAATCCCGCAATGCGCGTGGCCACGTGGCTACCTGCTCTTGTGACACCATTGTGACGAGCTCAAGGCGTCAGGCCTCTTTTAAGGGCAACAAAAATAGCAGTTTTCCCCTCAAGCCTCCTCACCAGCTGGGAGGAGCACGCATGCTCCGGCCTTCATTTCTGCTAGGAAACGAGCAGACTGTAAACACGGCCCTGAAGTCGTGTTCTGTTCTCTGCAGGAACAGGGGCCCCTGCACACTCGGCAAACACCTAATGAGCTACACACCTTTTTGATCCAGGGTGTCACTGTTGCACGGATGGGACCTGAAGTGCTCTTCCTTCAGACCCCAAGTAGTGAGGAGTGTGTGCCACCAGGTTTGGCTAGAAGGTGGTCTCTTAATTATTTCGTGGTGCACTGGGTCAAACTTGGGGCTCTAAGTGTGCTAAGTAAGCACCCTATCACTGAGGCACGTTTAAACTGCCCTTTCAAATCGTTACCTCACAAACGGTTAACAAGCCTGCCGAGGAGAAAGTACATTTGTCTTTGTTACTTATGGCCGGGCTTGTGGTGGTGGCACAAGCGTTTTATCCCAGCACTTGTGAGGCAGAAGCAGGCGAATCTCAGAGTTCCAGGACAGCTACACAGAGAAACCCTGACTCGAAGAAAACAAGATTGATTTATTATGTATGTGCACCGCCGGCAATTGCGGGGTGACGCATGCAGGTGCCTATGGAGGTCAGATACCGGAGGGCACTGGGACCCTTCCCTTGGAATTAACTTTGAACCATCTCCTATGCTTGCTGGGACTGAACTCCGGTCCTCTGCTAGAGCAACAAGCGCTCTTAACCGTTGAGCTCTCTCCAGCCCCTTGTAAGTATCGTGGCATGAGAGCGTTTGCACCGACGGAGCCCACTGACCGGCAAGTGGATGCTCTGCAAACTTTCCGGGCTGGTACCTGTGCTTCCTAGTTGTTTAAAACGCTTCGCAGCGCGGGACAGGGAACACGCTGGGCGAGAGTGCCCGACGCTGAGCGACACCAGCCTTGGCTGATTCTCCCTCCCGGCTGTCAGTCTTGCCATCACGGCCGTGACTGGCCGAGCCGTGTCCTCCCCGCGCCGTACTCACACCACGGGGACTACTACGTTATCCTAGCCTCGGTTTCCCCCACTGCCCCTCTGTGCTCCTCACCCGCCGGGGCCTCCATGGCCAACACGTCACCGCGCGACGCCTTCGCAGAGTATCCCGGCGCGCTCAGTGACGTCAGACGCCTGCGCTTTGAACTGCGCGTGCGCACTGGACCTAGGTGGGCGCAGGCAGACGCATGCGCAGGTGATGCTCTGGGCGGGGTTCCTGTTCTGGGTTCGGGGTCCCCTCTAACTGGCGACTTGGGGTTCCCAGCGGTAGCACCTGACGCCTTAACGGACCCGAGGCCGCCGCTGGAGCCGCCTTAGAACGCGGATGCCATGGGCTTCCTGGGGACACAACACACATGCATATGTCATATATGGAATATATATATCGCATGTAGGGCGGACAAGATGGTTCGGAGGGTAAAGGCTCTTGCTGCCGAGGCTGACAACTTGAGTTCGATCATCCGGACCCACAGGGTGGAAGGAGAAAAATGACTCCATTCTCTAAAGCTGTCTTCTGCCTTCCACAAGCCGTGCTGTGTCATGAATATATACACACACATACAAATACATAAGGCATACTATAACATATACAAAGATGTATACAAAGATGTGTACACTCTTGTACGTACATTTGTAGAAACATCGCTTGAAATTCAAGGTTAACAAAGAAACCTGTGGATAGGAGTGGATCTGAGACTGGGGACACCAGCTAAAATTTCCACCTTCCTGTGTCCCAGAACAAAGAATTGTTCGGGGAACACGTGTGTGTGTGTGTGTGTGTGTGTGTGTGTGTGTGCGCGCGCGCTGCACCCGCACCCTCCAACATGTATGTGCAGGTGGAGTCGTGCAGCCTCGGGCTCTTGCTATTTTTTGGCCACTGTACCTGCTAGCTTTCTGCTGTGAGTTTAACAGTGGCAGTAAAGAAATCGGCACGAAGTGGAGGTGCCTTAGGGGGAGGCCAAAGCTGCTCCGTGTTTGCGGGAAGTCACTATGCTGTGTGTTTGGAGCAGCTGAGTTGGCTAAGGATGCACAGTCTGTGGTGGGCGCCCAGTCCCTACCCTCCGCAGCCTCTGATGGGTTCTGCTGTGTGTTTGTTCTGCAGCTCAGCTTTCTTTGCACCCTGAAGAAACAAGGCTTCCCTGAACTGCCCCCTCCCTGTGAGAGGTGGCCTCTAGGCTGCCATCTTCATCCATTCTCCAGCCGCTCAGAATTTGTTAGCACTCTGCCCTTCCTGGCCATTAATCAGCGTCTCACGATGTAGTCCTGACTGGCCTGTAGCTCATCATGGAGACCAGGTTAGCTTTGAAATCACAGACCCACTTGTCTCTGCCTCCCAAGTGCTGGTATCAAGGATGTGCACAACCTCACCTGGCAGGAGTCAGTTTTTATTGGTTATTGTTTTTTTTTGTTTTTGTTTTTGTTTTTGTTTTTTTGACGTTCTAGGTCCACAGCAAAAGCCACAAGAGTTTCCATATGCTCCTTGTCATATGGAAGCCAAGCCTTTCCCATTGTCAACACCTCCTGGTCACATGAGCAGGCCCCCCAGTCACCTTCCTGTCACCCTAGTACACAGCACTCCTGGTGCTGTGAGATAGTTTCCTGAGAAAGATGGACGTCGGGGGAAGGGACAGTATTTCAGGAATGGGAAATGGGAACAAAATGAGAACGGAAGAGAGCAAAATTGAATTTGGATCCAGCAGAGATGTGTTCTGGCTGAGAGCTGAAGGGGTGTGTGGACATTAGGATGAGTCAGGGCCTCACCATTAAGAAGCCGAAACATCACAGCTAGAAGGTACACAGTGGGGCTCAGGTAGGGCTAGGGGCCAGAGAAGCAGAAATCTAGGAATCTCTGTGATGCTTCAGGACTCCTGGGCTTGCCGAAGTGTAGAGCCTCCCATGGCAGGCTGGGCACAGATGGCTGCTGCCCAGAGCAGAACACCATGAAGAGCAGAGCAAGGAGAAGGAATGCCCAAGAGGAACATTCTAGTGTATCAGGAACTGGGCTTGTAGTTAGAATTCCCCTAGGCTTGGTGTTTTCTCCTCCTCCTCTCCCTCCCCGCCTCCTTCTCTTCTTCCTCTTCCTCTTTTATTGAGACAAGAAAGCTCTACATAGTCCTAGTTGTTCTGGAATTCACTATGTAGACCAGGCTGACCTTGAACTCAGGGATCCATCTGATTGTGTCTCCCAAGGGCTGGGATTAAAGTCTTGAGCCACCACACTTGGCTGGTGTTTGCTTTTCTGCCCTCCACCTTCACCCCATTTCTTTTTCTTCTCTTCTTTCTCCCCCCTTTCCTCCTTTTCTTCTGCCTCTTCCAGCTCCTTTAGGTGTTTTGAGACAGAGTCTTACTCTGTCCTGGCCTTGAATATACAATCCTCCTGCCTCAAGAGGGGGCAAGAGCTAGGATTACAGGCCAGCAACACCACCCCTCAGCTCGCATTTCCTTTCCGCTTTCTTGTGCGTTTGTGGGAGTGTAGCCTCCTAGGTGTGCATGTGTGATAACGCTGCTGTCAACCTCGAGGGCCAGCCACGTTGTTTTCTGATCTGCCCCCAGGAATCCGCCTGTACTCACCTCCCCGGGGATGGATTTCCAACTGCACACCCACACCCGCAGATATTATGTATGTATGTATGTATGTGTGTATGTATGTATGTATGTAGACATGGGTGCTGCTTACAAGGCAAACACTTTGCAGCCTGATCCCTTCCTTACTCCAAATGCCTTCTCACCGGAGCATGTCGCACGAAGGAGGGTACAGTGGTGTCCTCTCTAGCGTCCTCTGCTTTCTGAAATTGTCATTGCTGTGGGGGTATGTCCTCTGGGAAAGGATTGGGATGTGGGCTGCTGGCCAGCACCCCTGTGTGTGGACAATGGGCCACCTGGCCCTCTCTCAGGTTCCTTCTTCCAGGAGCCAGCCTACTCCCCTGAAGACGTCTCAGATTAAGCATGTTCCCCTGGAAGTGGGCAGAACACCCCTTCCGCAGATTTCAACGGTCATCTATTTATTTATTTTGGATTGTGAGACAGTGCCCAGATCCACATGGTGGAAGGAACTGACTTCTGACTCCTGAAAGATGCCCTTTGACCTCAGCACAATCAACTTGGTACATGTTTCCCTACCTTCGAATAAATAAATGAAAACCAAAAGGGAAGACAGCCTAACAGCTTGAGGTCTAACAGCTTGAGGTCTAGCCTGCCCTAATGGCACCTCCTTCTGATGTGTGTGGCCTGGCAACAGATACAAGCAGATCCTACCAGACTGACTGGTATGGCTGAGAAATGGAACAGGGTAAGGAGTGTGTGTGTGTGTGCGCGTGCAAGTGCGCATAGGGGCTGGTATGCAGGTGGTCCTCAATGGAGGCTTCAGAGGAGGTGGCTAGGGAGCAGGTACCTGAACTTGATGGACAGCCAAAGGCTCAGCAGGAGCAATGGGACTGAAAAGGGTCCCGGCTGAAGCAGGATGAGGGTGACCTTGGCCTTGTCACTCCTAAAGATAGAGTCCTGTGGTACAAGGGGCAGCTTGACCCCCAGGGGTCCACTCTGCCCCTGCTCTACCCAGTCCTCCAGCATCTTATTGTCCCTGTGAGGGCCCAGTATCAATCTTTGAGTCACCAGTCTGAATTGGGGGAGCTGAGTCTGGCTCACCTCCGAGCTGGGATTAGCTGGGAATCCTCAATCCAGAGACTGCAAATCCCAGACCAAATATCCACCTCCACATCATTTTCGCTCCCAGCACCTTTTTCTCTCCTCGCCCCTAGGAAGGGTACGTTCCTTTCTGACCTTCCAGTCCAGATCTGCAGGAGCCCATTTAGCCTGGAGGATGAGTCACGGGTTCACAACGTCATAGCTACTCATGGCTGGAGTTTTAGAAAACCTCAGGAGAGTGGGAGCGAGGACGTTGAGAGTTTCTTGATGAACATTCTCCACTAACTGCTGTGGAGAGACTGGCTTTCTGTGGTGTTTCCCCCTATTTCCAGAGCTATAACGAGGTTTTGATTTTGAAACTTTCCTACCTTACAGAAAAATTGCAAGACTGTTACAACGGAGGTCATCCATTTAAAAGCCCCCATTTTGTCACATTTACGGGACTCTTCCTTCCTATTGGGGTCATCTGTGTTGGTTAGGGTTGAATGTCGGATTGGCAGAATCTAGAGTCACTTGGAAGAGGGAACTCTGAGCTTTCCTGTGGGGATTATCTCAATGGCGTCAGTTGAGGCGGGAGGACCAAACCGTGGGCATTGCCTTTCCCTGACTGGAGCCCTGGACTGTAGGAAACAGGAAGGAGGAAACAGAGGCTCCCTCCTTCACCGTGGCTGCAGTGTGCGTTGTTCTTGCACTGTGATAAGCAATGCCCGCCTCCCAACCGCCGCCACTGCCACCACTGCCAGCCACTGCCGGCCACTGCTGCTGCAGGAGCTGCTGGAGCTGCTGAGGAACTGAGGAACTGTGAGCCGCAATTGCCTTTGTCAGAGTATTTTAGCCCAGGCTGGAAAACAGGCTAAGATGTCATCATTGAGTATTCACTTGTCCCTCCCTTCCCTCCTTCCTCCCTCCCTCTGCTCCTTCCTCTCCTTTCTTCCCTTCCTTTCCCCTTTTCTTCCTCCCTCCCTCCCTTCTTTTGCAGCACTGGGATGGAAACCAGGGCCTGGTGTACTAGGTAATTGAAATGCTCCATGGGACATCCCTTTCAAACACTTTAAAAACTTGCCCAGACTATGACATCAGCCCTAAATATTTTGACATGTGCTTGCTACGGCGGGACATGTTCTTACCCGAGCACCAGCCCTATCTCACACAAGAATCTTTATCTGGGGATGATGGCCGTCCAACACGCACTCTGGATTCCAGTTCCCCCAGCCCTGCCCTTTGTGCATCTGAACTCTCGGCTGCCTGGCATCAAGCGCTGCGCGTAGCCCTTGGGGTTCCTTAATGTCTTTTGAAACTCCCAACTTCACCCCTTCCTTCACCTCAACTTCTGGAAAAGTCATTCTCAGTAAAATGGGTTTGAATCCGTCAAGGGCTGGGACTTTTGTCCTGAGAAAGGT